GTTAGTCAACTTTATCCTTCCTTTTTAATCCTTCCATGTATATTACATATTAGGTAGGTTATTTCAGAATATTTACCCAATGATTCCTTGAATTGAATAGCTCACTTTGTAGCCATCTTCCCGCTATTTATTTTTATATCCTTCTAACATGAAATAATAATTTTCAGAGTTGGATAACTCTGAAAATCTTCATGTGTTGCCTTCCATGATAATTATTACTCCCTTCGGTCCTTAGTATAAGGCGAAGTTAACCAACTTTATGTTTATCTAACTTTTCAATTTTACCCTTCTTTGCAATTAATAACCATAGTAAATTGTTGTCCAGTTATTTAATATGATTTTACGGTCCAAGAAAATGCCTGATGAGTGGAGGAGAAGTACATTAATTCCTATTTATAAAAATAAAGGAGATATTCAGAATTGTACTAACTATAGAGGAATTAAGCTCATGAGCCACACAATGAAATTGTGGGAGAAAGTAATTGAGCACAGGTTGAGATTGGAGACAAGTATTTCTGAGAATCAGTTTGGTTTTATGTCAGGTAGATCAACTACAGAGGCGATTTATCTACTAAGGGGATTAATGGAAAAGTATCGTTGTAAAGATAAAGATCTACACATGGTTTTTATTGATTTGGAAAAAACTTATGACCGTATACCAAGAGAAGTGCTTTGGAAAGCGTTAGAAAAAAAGGGAGTACGGATTGTTTATATTAAAGCTATACAAAATATGTATGAGGGGGTAAAAACTAGTATAAGAACGCCTAGTGGTCAAACAAAGGATTTTCCTATAAAGATTGGACTACATCAGGGATCATCTCTGAGTTCTTATTTGTTCAACTTGATCTTAAATGTTTTGATGGAACATATTCAAGGGGAAATTTTGAAATGTATGCTCTTCGCGGATGATATAGTTCTTATAGCAGAGAGAAGAGAAGAGGTTAATTGCAAACTTGAGTTATGGAGGAGGACATTGGAGTCGAAAGGTTTTCGTCTGAGTAGAAGTAAGACGGAATATTTATATTATAAATTTGGTAAAGGACTATTCGACAATAATTTGGAAGTGAAATTGGGAGATCAAATTATACCTCAAGTGGAAAAGTTTAGATATTTGGGAGCCATTATTCAAAATGATGGCAAAATTAGTGGAGATATTTCACATAGGATTCAAGCTGGGTGGTTTAATTGGAAAAAAGCTAAAGGAGTTATTTGCGACCATAAGGTGCCTAATAAACTTAAAGGAAAGTTTTATCGCACTGCTATTAAACCGGCAATATTATATAGTAGTGAATGCTGGGCTCTAACGGGACAGCAAGAGCATAAAGTTGGAGTAGTAGAGATGAGAGTGTTACGATGGATGTGCGGACACACACGTAAAGATAAAATTCGAAATTAGCACGTACACAAAAAAGTGAGAGTGGCACCTGTTGAGGAAAAAATGATAGAAAATCGGTTGAGATGGTTTGGGCATGTACAAAGAAGACCAAGGGAGGCACCAGTGAGAAGAGTGGAATATATAATTTTGAGTCCAATTAAGAGAGGTAGAAGAAGGCCTAAAAGAACACTCTTGGAAGTTATTGAACGCGATCTCTTAATTAATAATATTCCTAAAAGCTTGATAAATGATAGAGCACAATGGCGTCTTGCAATCCATGTAGCTGACCCGACCTAATGGGATAAAGGTTTGTTGTTGTTGTTGTTGTTGTAGTAAATTGTTGTCCAGGAATTCAAACCATAATTAATAAATAAGGGTAAAAAAGAAAAATTAAATTAATTACTCTAACTTTGCCTTATATTAAGGACCAAAATAAGTTTCCAAAGTCTGCCTTATATTAAGGATCAGAGGGAATAATTGGAACTTGTTATGCTATGCCTGAATCAACTTAACGAGGCTTATAAATTATCATCACAGCGATGCTTTTGTTTTTGTCTTACATGGGTTGCTGCTTGTGGTTTCCCCATGTGTGGTGGTTTCTTTTCAATATGGGATTATCTCTTGCCTAACGATGGCTTTAATATTGCAATCATTTCTTGTGCAGGGCAAGACATCTGTTGCATATGAACCACTTTATAGTGATAACCAAGCAAGGTAGTGGTAGTTCTTTATTGGCCTTGTTTTTCCATGTATTTAGTGTTGGCACCTAAAAATGCTTGTATATATTTCAATAAAACACCTTAAAGAACTATACACACTATTGAAGCGACAGAGGTCTTTCTCTAGACAATTTACTCTTAACTTACAAAATTTTAACCTCATTTTCATTATAAAATGGGAGAAATTTCAAGATTATTATGCATCGGCTATTACTAATACTTGGTTTTATATGTTCTCTTTATTGGCATTAGATTTCTTTCTGAGTATAGATTTGATGTCTCCAAACTGGAGCCGCTAGTGGCCAAGGTGAGTTTTTTGATTTAATTGTGGTGAGGTTTTATTCTGTGTAAATCTGCCTGGTATTTTTGTTTTTGTATTGTCTGATGCTCTTAGATTTTGCAGCTGATATAATGTTTGGATTTCCGCAGCCCCATTCTCCTGATAATCGTGCTTTGGCAAGAGAATGCAAGGATGTGAAAATTGACAGAGTATATATAGGATCTTGCACAGGTGGTAAGACGGAGGATTTCATGGCTGCAGCAAAAGTTTTCCTCGCTTCAGTAAGCATCTTACGCTCCTGACACCAATTTCTGTGATATATGCACTCCTATAATTTAAAATCTTGTATGCTGAACATTATAAAATTGTATTTGATTTTAATTGTGATGACTTGTAATTGATGGCATTTCTGGATGACTGATCTTTCTGCTAAATCACAAGCTGTTAGTGTCGTGTGATGAAGAGGCGTCTTAGAATGTGCATGCGTGATTTGCATTTTTCTTATGGTATTATATATTCATTGCAGCATTATATTGCGTCTCGTATGGATTTAATTTATTTACTTTATAACATGTTTGTATCAATGTCTCTAATCAATTTTGTGAAATATATTTTTCAGGTAATTATACATGTTTTCTTGTTTATTGCACAAAATTGAAAAATGAGTCACATTTCATGGTTTATAAATAGTGCAAGTTGATATAGATTTAATATTAATATTAATGATTGCCAAATGTAATAATAAAGGTGTAAAAAGGATTATGATGCCAAAATGCAAAACTCCAATGGTTAGCCATCTTTTTCAAAATTTACTGTTCTGTTGCCAATTCCTGTTGATCTTCTTCCTATAGGATTTATTTTTTAGGTTGGTTCTGTTCCTCAAAGTCATTTTATTTTGGGTTCTATCTAAAATATGACATTGTTTTCCTCTGCTGAAGAGCTTGTGTGCATCTGCAGGGTAAAAAAGTCAAAGCCCCCACATTTCTTGTGCCTGCGACCCAGAAGGTGAAATTTTTTTCTATATTTAGGTTCAGTGGCTTTGCTGCTTTAAATTCCCATGGGAAGTGATCGTTGATAATTGTGGAGCTGGGATCCTCTAGTAAAAGCAGTGATGTGGTGAGGAGGGAGCTAGAGAGACGTGCAAGACTCGCCTATCTGTGTGGGTCTTACTCTTATCTCTGCCTCTTTCATCTCTGCTTCACGAGAGCATCCACTTGGATAATTGTGACATTGCACATATATTTGTGGAATTGCAGGTTTGGATGGACTTGTATAGCATCCCGGTCCCTGGATCTGGTGGTAAGACTTGCTCCCAGATCTTTGAAGAAGCTGGGTGTGACGCTCCTGCAAGTCCTAGCTGTGGTGCTTGTTTGGTGGCCCAAAAGATACCTATGCACGATTAAATGAACCGCAGCAAGTTCCTCTGTTTCTGTTTGGAGCATCTAGCTCTCCAGCATTGATCTTTGATTAATATGTCAATGATCATTGCCGAGATTATGCCTCTTGAATGTCATGAATGATAAGTAGACTTGGCCAAGAAATGAATGTGCCACCATGATGTCTTGTAATTATTCTTGACCTCATTGATTATGAAGTAAAGTTTTGATGGTTTCGAACATTTGATTTACCGTATAATCTTTAGCCAGTACCACATTTGATTGCCATTTTCATGCTTTGATTTGAATGTATTAGCATGATAATTACAATAGGTTCCCCTACATATAATAAAGCATTTTCATCATTGTCTTGATATTCATCAATATTTCATTGATTCTTATTCATTATTTAATTGATTATTAATTTGCGATTCATTATGTCTTCATTTCAATTCATTCATTGTATAATATTTATTTTTTTTTCATGATTGTCATTGACATTTAATGAATAGATTACAACAGTTATGACGTATATTCATTATGCTCAGTTATACTTTTGTTGTTCAACTTTTCATTTCATCTTTGAGAAAATTCATGTTTATTCAGCGATCGGCAGATGATTTGTGTTTCAAACTACAAACCGGAACGTCCCGGGCGGATGGGGCACAAGGAAGGTCAGATATATTTGGCTTCTCCATATACCGCAGCGGCGTCTGCATTGACTGGTTTTGTTACTGATCCGAGAGAGTTTTTGCAGTAAATTATTGTCATATCAATGATATTATTGTAGTGTATGTGTTGGTTAGTGTTATGTTCTCTAAGTACGTTAAAATTTCCAGCTAATAATTATCCGCGTATCTGGAATTGACGAAATCTTTATACGTGATTGTTCAGGATTTATTAAAAAGATTATTGGTGTTACTTGGTGATCGATTGGTTTGATTTAATCGTTCATTATCATTGTTTAGAGACAATTATTGAGAAAATGGATGGACATCTTATTTCTGCATGGAATTTCTTGCCCTGCATGGCCGGTGTTACCTATCAAGAATAAAGCTTTAGGTGGCATTTAGTGAGTGGCCGTACTCGTTATAATTTTAAATGTGAGAATAAACCGGTTTACTATGACAAATCACGGCAAACAATCCATGTCTACTATTATTAAATCAGCAACAAGTTCGCGTTGTGAAGAAAAATCACGTAGGTATGAGGCAGTTCAGCACGAATCTCATAAATGTCTGAGTCAAGATTTGATCCCCACGCTACTTCCTCCATCACCCATTTTATTACTATCTCGTGGATCACTCCTGTTTCGCAGAACTGTGCCTTCGTCGAATAAATGTTGCTCCCGAAGAATCGCTCTCTCCAATAAACCATTGAATCGCTTGCCCCCACCATTCTTGCTTTTACCTTCCCCTACTCCTCCTCGTCACCGAGACGCAAACCCAGTTCTGAGTCCACCTGAACGATGACATAGAACCCGCTCGCTCTCTCTGGTCCTGCAGAGATCCCACAGGACTTGGATTTCGAAGGCGTAGATTTGGAAAGTTTCGTTGCCTTTGCTCTTTCCTAGTTGCCGAGAATTGGTGTGACTGATTGTAGGTGGCCGAAGGTTTTTTTATTTGTTGTTGTTGTTGTTGAAGGTTTTTTTATTTGTTGTTGTTGTTGTTGTTGTTTGATTGTTATTCGATTTTTAAGCTTGATAATGAATTCGATTTTGAAGGTGCACATGCCACTATTATTTTCTTGACTTCGCTAGAGATGTTTTTTTCCGTCTTTGGTGAAGGGGATGGATGGGTAGATATCCATCAATTTCTTAATTTCCTCATACGGTCCTGGGATTTCGCAGATTTTCTCAAGTCTTCGAGCATCGTGTCTTCATCTGCCATCAATGTTGCACCATTGGTCATGCCATTAAAACCCAGGAGAGTGGCTTTGTATGAGATCCCCTTAATGTTACTTCTTGTAGTAGTAGCAGGAACAACGTTGGTGGTCTCATCATGTGCCGTGGCATCGTGTTCCAGAGCGCACTTCCCGAGAGAGAGAGAGAGAGAGAGAGAGAGAGAGAGGAAATTTTCATGTTTACCCTTCTTCCAGTCAACTAGTCAACTTGGATCTACATGACACTGGGCAAAGTTCACGGTCAAACTTGGGTATTTAACCGCAGGGTATGCTTCAATTCAATTATTGTAGGGGCAAAAATACTTTTAAGATATTTCAAAAACAAAAATGTATCTTTATCTATTAAAATAAATGAAATTGGTTAAATTTCAATCGTTAAATTTTTAATTCAAAGGCAGGGATGGGATGAGGAGTAAAAAATGAGAGAAAAGATGACGAGAGGATTCACACCCAGCAAGGCAGCAATATTGCATACCAATTTTTGTCTGCTAAAATTGAGCATGATTCATTGCTCTATTATATCCCATTTTCTTTAATTGTTCAAACTTCTTTTATTTTTTTTTTAAAAATTTTTAGATGAGTTGGATCTTAGGATATCACTAAGATAAAAGCTTACTTTCAGACTCAAAAAATATTTATAAATATATGGATGATTCATTGAGAAAATTCTTACATTCGGAGTAAAATTTAAGCTCAGTTATGAATTAAATTCCTATTAGTTGAATCAACGTGTTCAAACTTCTTTTTGACTATGCAAGGATTCCTCATTTCGCAAAAAGTTTTAATGTTAACGAGTTTTGCTCCTAGGAAGTATGAGAATTGATTTTGAACTCCTGAAACCATGGAATTTTCGTGCAAAATTAGTCATGTAGAGTAACGTCGGACGAAGCCTAAAAAATAACACCAGAAGAGATAGGACATTGGGCACTTGTTGACTTTTCGGATGCCCATTTCACTGTCACGCTCAGGGGCTGCTGATCATGATTGTTTATTGACAAGACCATAGGCTGCTCCATGCTGAGGAAAGTGGCCCGAAATATCATCATGCTCTTTACTAAATGATAGGATTTTCATTTGTGTTGTGCCGAGTTCCTGTATTCTCAGCTGTCAGAACAAAGCACTGTTTATTGGTTCCCTTATAGCTCCCGGATCATCAAAGCACTGTATTGCAATCATGGCTTCCACTGTTTGGACTTTCATCTCTCCATCACTCATCAATGGCAAGGTCACTCGCTGTCTTCCCCATTTCCTGACACTTCTCTTTTTCGCTGCTGAGCTTTTAACTTACTGTAATCAATATTCAAATATATTTCACTGACCCAAATTTGTAATGCCGGTATTTTCATCTCAGAAAGAATTGAGCCTCTCTTCTTTTCCTTCATCATCTTCATCATCATTTGCAACTGTGAAGAAGTGCAAGAAGATCGTTTCGGTTGTGGCACCACAACAGTATGAGCGCAAGCCTTCCACCACTGGCTCAGTTGGCTCCAACCCTTCACTCTGTTTGCTTCCCTGTTTCTCCATGGATCAGCTATAACTAGTTTTGAATATTAACAGTGAGTTTTTCTTCACTACAGGCCAAGAATCCCATGACCATGACAGAGAAGATAGCTAGAGCTTCTGAGAAATGTGAAGTTAAGCCAGGGGAAAATGTGTGGGTTAATGCTGATATTTTAATGATCAACGATATTACTTGTCCTGGCATAGCTGCAACCTTCAACAAAGAGTTTCGCCCCATGCCAAGGTCTCCTATTGCCAACTTTTTTATTCGTTTGACGTAGAATAAAAAAAAAAAAAAAGCGTACCTTTGAGATGGTCAAGTTTCATTTTAGTTAAAAATTTTAGCTAAAATTACACAATAACCCTGAAAATCTGGTCTTTTCATTAAGTCCCTTTATAATATAGCAAGGATTATGTGTGTTTGTGTGTACATGTTCAATGACAAGCAATTTTGCTTATAGACTAATATAACTTTGTGTTGTTTCTGTTTTGAGAATGAAGGTTTGGGACCGTGAAAAGATAGTAGTTATTCCTGATCACTACATATTCACAAATGATGAAAGAGCACATCGAAATGTGGACATTGCAAGAGAGTTCAGCTTGGACCAAAATATTAAGTACTTTTATGACATTACCGATCGCAGCAATTTTAGGGTATAATCTTCACTACTATTTCTCTTCTGACTGCATGTTGAAATGGCTTTCTTCTTTCTTCACTGTACAAATTATACTGTTTTTTTAAACGATTCATTGATTAAATAAAAAACTGAATAAGCTATCAACCGGCAGGTTAGTCATTTGGGATCATTAATTTTGACAGGTCTCGACCATTTGATTTTCTTCATGCTTAAAGCCATACGTTAACATTTGATAAAATAAAGTAACAAAACTGAAAGCTATTAGAGACAAGAGAGAGAAACTAGAAAAAGATTAAAAAATATCATATCTATTATTAAGATGAAGGTTATATTATATATACAAAGAAATAGATAATACAATAAATAAATAATACAATAATGACTAATAACTATAAATAATATCTCCTAATAATAATTGAGATATATACACAATAATAATAGAAGATATTTGGAGAATATTCTAGATAACATTTCCGCTCAAATTCAAGATGGTTTAACAGAAAGCAACTTGAGCTTGTCTACCAAAAATTGAAAGCGGCATTGATGAAAGGACTTTGTAAACAAGTTCGTCAGCTGATACTTGGTTCGAATTGGAACAAGTTGGATGGTGCTCTGAACAACATGCTGGCAAGTAAAGTGACAGTCAATCTCAATGTGTTTGGTATGCTCATAAAAACATCATTATGAGCAATCTTGATTGCAGCTTGATTATCATAATAAATGCCTACGGAGGAGCTCTGAGATGCTCCCAACTTATCAAGTAACCAATGAAGCCAAAGTACCTTAGCAATAGTGTCTGCTAGTGCACGATATTCCGATTCAGCACTGGAGCGAGAGGCTAATGTCTGCTTTTTACTTTTTCAAGAGATAAGGGAATGACCACGGAAGATACAAAAACTTGTCATAGACCATCGATCATCACGATCACCACCTCAATCGACATCAGAGTAAGCTTGCAACGTAAGAGAGGAGCTAGCAGAGAAGTGAAGCTCATGATATAGAGTGCCTCTGATATACCAAATGATTCGAAGAACTGCTATACAATGAGTTATGTGAGGCTCAAACATAAACTGGCTAACATGAACTGCATTAGCAATATCAGGATGGGTGACAGCAAGATAGATGAGGCCCCCAAGCAGCTAACGGTACCTATTAGAGATGAGAGAGAAACTAGAGAAAGATTGAAAAATGTCATACTTATTATTGAGATGAAGGTTATATTATATATACAAAGAAAATAGATAATACAATAAAACTAATAAAAAATAATCTTCTTATAATATAGTTGAGATATATACACAATAATAATAGAAGATATTTGGAGAATATTCTAGATGACAAAAACTAATATTAACCTGAAACAGAAAATGTTTGCTATTTACTCATAATTTATCAAATATAATTTGAATGTAAGATCATATGATTGTGTGAAAAAAAATTACAATCTGTTGTAGGACAAGGGCAATGGCTTGATGAAATAATTATCCATTTATAATTTAATTTTCTAAATGTGACTCAACTTGAAGTGGATGTCAGATCCTGAGAGAAAACCATGTCGTTGATCTTCTTGTGAAGTAGCTATTCTTTTATGAGACTCTTGTATTTGCTTGGAACTTCCATTTCCCTTTTTTAATGTTTTAAGATATGACATATTCAACTAATGGTTATGTGTTTTGTCTTTCTTTTCGGAAAAAAACGTTAGAGCTGTGATTGCTCATTCTTTTGTTATTTCCTATCCTTCTCCAGAAAAAAAGAATTACATAATCATTAATCGACAATCAGTATAAGTTTGGTTTGTCATCAAAATGATTTTCATATTATTTAGCAATAAACTTGCATTACTAAAGACTGCGTTGTATAAATATTGGAATAATAAAGTTGACATTGCAGGCCAACCCTGATTATAAAGGTGTTTGCCATATTGCTCTTGCCCAGGAAGGTCATTGCAGACCTGGAGAGGTAAAGTTTTCTTGACGAAGTTATTGGTATTTTGAATCTAAAACACGTTAAGAGATTTCAAAGCTGTTCTAATCTCTTCGTCGATGATGGCAGGTCTTGTTTGGCACAGATTCTCACACCACATCTGCTGGAGCATTTGGCCAATTTGCTACTGGCGTTGGTAATACTGATGCAGCCTTTATATTGGGAACGGGGAAGCTCTTACTCAAGGCGCGTAATACGTTTTACTTGTGTGTTTGTGCGTGTGTAAACATTATTGTTTAGTCAAACCTTTCGTAAAATTTTATGAGATCTTTTTCAAATAATATGGCATGGCCACTCTATTGGTCAGGTGAAGCAACCTGTTAGTTCTATTGTATCATCATAAACCACAGGATTAATGAATTTGATCACTGCCAGGTTAGATGATCATAAGTATGGTAGAGATATTAAATTACTTTCAGACAATTATTTATTGAGTCAGACAGTGTATAGTTTTACTGCACTGTCGTTGGTTGGCTTCACCTGGCAAATGTTAAAACAGAACTATAATTGACTGCTGTATCAGATTTTGGCATTTTGGTAATTGTTTTAATGAACGACCCTCAATTTCCTGAATGCGCTTAAACTGCAGGTTCCTCCAACTTTGAGATTTGTGCTAGATGGTGAAATGCCCAGCTATTTGCTTGCAAAGGATTTAATTTTGCATGTGAGTGATAAATTCCTCCCAAAAAAAAAAAAAATTCCCCTTGAATAGAATACGACTAGTTAAAATGCCATGGTATGAATACTACGAAATTATTTTCTGCGTCATTGCCTTCATAAACATCACAACCGTGCAGATCATTGGTGAAATATCAATGTCTGGTGCAACATATAAAGCCATGGAGTTTGTGGGGACCACGATTGAAAATTTAAGCGTATGTGAACGGCATCCTTTCTCTTTTGATGTCTCTCGTAAATGCTAATATTTAATGCATGAATCACAATTTCAATGGTTCCGATGTGCTGTATTTTAGATTGAAGAAAGGATGACAATATGCAACATGGTTATAGAAGCAGGCGGCAAAAATGGTGTTGTTCCTGCTGATGGGACCACATACAAATACCTTGAGGTTAGAGATGATTACACTTCTTCTCTGATGAAACCTTCTCTGACTTTTTCTCCATTTCCATTGATTCTCTCATCTCTAGGAGCAACCATGCAATATTTTTATATGTATAAGTGAAATTATTTTATGCTCAATCCTACATGCATGGATGCCTTATGTCTATGCATTAGGAGATGTACTAGTGTCGAACTCTTATCTGCCTGTGTTACGCATGGCTTGTTTATTTTCATAGGATAAGACATCTGCTGCCTATGAACCAGTTTATAGCGATGAGAAAGCAAGGCAAGTTCTTTTTGACTTATCCTTACCAGTTGCCTCTCTCTTTCATTTATATTAAGCTAGGTTGGAACCGCCCATTCCTAGTTGCATTCGTTGCTTTTTGTCCTGCTTTGTTAAGTGCACGTATGCCAGACTTACGATTATGGATGCACCTAAGATGACACTCTGAGTACTTTGTTCGTAGTCTGTAACTTTAAGACCTTCTGTCAGTGGAATTAATTATCGCCTAAGATCTCAGCTATCTATGGATCATACACAGATCAAAACTAAAAGCCTCTATCTATCTATATATATGTGTGTGTATATGGAGAGAGACTGTTAGGTACTCAAAACTGAAAGAAAGAAATAAGAAAGATAAATATTTATTAAAATATGAAATTAGAATCTAACTTCATAAATTAATAGGAGAACATAGAATTGATAAAAAAAAAATATAATGAATAAATCTATTAAGATGATATAGAACAAGAATCTTATTCTATAATTCTTTCAATGGCCATGCTTAGGAGGATTTCCAAAAGTCCCTTTTATTCATAATATGCTACCTTTTGAGTTGCTATGCATATTTATTATAAATGTAATTCATAATACTAAATAAAATTTAGATAACTAGATAATTACATAAAAACTGAATAAAATCTCCTAAAATCTATACCTGAATAAAATACTGAATAAAATCAAAGGAACTAAATATCTAAATAAAATCTCTCCTAAAATTTCTCAAAAATAACTCGAAATTCCAAATAACAATAATTAAATAAAATTTAATTCAACGGACTCTTATCATAGATATGCATACCAATCTGGTGATGATCTGCTTTGAAGAGAATCCTAAGTCTTGCTACTGTGATTAAAAATTTGAGACTTTATAGTGCTCTGATTATTAGTTCACCACCTAAAGATATTGGAAAGCTTTTGAAAATGTGAATGGATTGTCGTTTTCATCCAAACATGACAATCAGTGATGAGCAAATGCATGCCTTATGGTAATTATCTAATTCATATCTCACCTGTAAAGAAAGGTACATACTTGCAAAGATTTGCATGACATTTTTCCCATTTTGCTTTCTCTTTTGACAATTTAATATTATCTTTTCTAACACTTTCTTGTCAAATTCAGATTTCTAAACGAGTACAGATTTGATGTATCAAAGTTGGAACCGTTGGTGGCAAAGGTAGTGTACTGCTCCACATTATATGATAAATTAGGAAGCTTGTGAACTGTTGTTGATGTAATGTAATATGCAACATGGCAGCCTCATACTCCAGATAACCGTGCTTTGGCAAGAGAATGCAGAGATGTGAAAATTGACAGGGTCTATATTGGATCATGTACGGGTGGAAAGACTGAAGATTTTATGGCTGCAGCAAAAGTTTTTTTAGCTGCTGTAAGTCAATAGAGTTACAATCCCAATTTCCTTTAATTATGTCGATGCATCTGTGTGAAAATTAGTATTTGGATGCATTATCATTTTATTTCTTCCAATTATTACTTTTCTGTTGTTCTTTGTCATCTTTAACTTCAAGAAACTGTCCATGTTGCAGGGGAAAGAAGTCGAAGTTTCCACTTTTCTTGTCCCTGCTACGCAAAAGGTATATATTTATCCACGTACTTGAACATGAGCCACATCTCCTGATTCAGAAGTGTTTCATGACAAAGTCATGAATTGTTTGAATACACCATGCTTGTAATACGATGTTTACAGGTTTGGATGGACTTGTACACTGTTGAGGTACCTGGCAGTGGTGGCAAGACTTGTTCTCAGATTTTTGAAGAAGTTGGTTGTGATACACCTGCGAGTCCTAGTTGTGCTGCCTGTATGGGTGGCCCAAGAGACACCTATGGACGTTTGAATAAACCCCTGGTAAATTTAGCCTTTCTCAATAATTAAACTTACAATGCTGTAGATTCATCAGTTTGCTACATGTTTGAGGTCACAATTAAGATCCCAATTTCAGCTATAAGATTTGGCCACAATATCTATGACTCTAACATAGATTCAAACCTCAACCTCGACTCTGAATGCAGGTTTGTGTGTCAACAACAAATAGAAACTTTCCAGGTAGAATGGGGCACAAGGAAGGACAGATATATCTTGCTTCCCCATACACTGCTGCAGCATCTGCATTAACTGGTTTTGTAACTGATCCAAGGGACTTCTTGCAGTAAGTTAGTGAGCGTGAAGTTGGTCGTGGCTTGTTATGCACTGAGGATCAGGTTTTGAATAGTTATAATGATGAATATGTCTGGGACTTGTCAAGGAGTAATAGTTTACTTGGAGGTTAGAGCAAGTTTATGGTTGGATCACACGCGTATAATATAAAGATACATGAATGTGTGTTGTAATGTATTCATGTGTCTATAAGAAATATGATTCGTATAGTCTGTTAGCTTATAGGGTGTGGACACGTGGAGGGTTATATTGTTACCTGTTGTGACTAATTTCAGTTAACACACTCACATGGTCACATTCGTAGCTGGAGGCACGACATGAAACTGAGTATTTTTAACTTCTGTTTCTATTTCCTTAACCGAACTGAGATTAATATCAATTTATATTCAACTGTTTAAACCAATAGTCAAAAATTATTCGCTATATTAAGAGAAATGAAAACCCAATAATGCAATCTCAGTTTACTGTTACTGAATGTATATAAAAGTTGAAGTTTCAAATTATGTTTTTCCTCAGGAATTACTTTCTTCAATTTCGTACGCCTTTTCATTATGGCATAGAGGCTTCCCTCAGACTTTGCATGTTGCCGTACATTTTACACAATTGAAAGTTCGACTGTATATTCATTTTGCTTTTGAAAGATGCCTATTATCAGGCACACGTGGGAAAGATACTTTTAATTCTTTATTCGAACTGAATGGTGTGGGAGCTACTATAATTATAACTAAGCATTCAGCTCAACTTGCGGTGACTTGCTATATGATCACACAATTTAAGTGTCCAACGTGTTGAAGTTAATAACACAAGTAACGCGCAACCTTTCAACTCATCAACAAATAACTATATTCATCAGCAATCTAGCTGAGATTTCAAAAGTTCACTAATTGTTCATCTGCTAATAAAATGGTAACATGCATGTTTATTTTTCCTCATTGATGGCTTTCTTTGCCACGTTCCACTTTCTCCTATTTCTACACGTGCATGGTGCCAATACCAATTAAAATAACCAGGCATGACAGAATTACATATTTCTCATCTCTAACTACACTCTATTCAACAGCCATCCGCTGCCAAAACTTCGTAAGAGCATGACCACTCAGCCCGTTTCACACAATAAAGTTGACGGGACCAGATGATTTTGCACCTTGCTTCACAGTATCTCCTAAAACAATCATAAAAATTAGGATTGGCAATATACATAAAAATTGAAGATTTACAAATCTCGAATCATTTGAGCTGTATAAGCCATCTATAAGTTTGAAGACCAACAACTAGCTTTTGCAACAGTTTTTCATCAAATTTTCATATTTTAGGTATGGAAACCCACATTTAAAATCAATTTACACCCTGCGCAAAAGCATACATGTAAACTAGTCTTGTAACAATGCAAAGCGCATCTTAAAAGAAATACTGGGATACAATGTAGTAAAAAAAATGCAAACTGAAGTAATATAGAACCGCCCAACTAACCAACCCCCTTAACTACTATTCCCATTTAACAGCGTGAAAACAAAACTAAATAGAACAGGCAAATGATTATAGAAGCATATAACCAACCATATGGCAACTACTACTGGAAATAACTTCTACTATGCTGAGTTATTATCTCTCATTGATCCCCTTGTAATAACTTCCTACAATGCCAAAGTAAAACTAAAGCTGCCATTTACTAATTCAACAAATTTATTGAACAAAGTCTAAGAGAGAGAGACAGATAGAATAAAATTACCAGCAGCAGGTTGAGGACTTGGGGCTTCACCGTAGATGGCTCGGAGCCTTGTGAGAGGGACTGAAGCAGAATCAGTTGAAGCTTCAGCAAAAAGCTGTTGTTTCCAATCCCACATGGTCTTTCTCATGGCCTTGTTGGATTTGACAAGATTTTCCTTCTCAGCCTCTAGAGCCTCAATGACCTTTTGCTGGTGAACTGATCTTATTCCCAGTGTTGCAAACGAAGCAAGGAGGCAAACATCAATCACTACGTTGTTGTTCAAAGCTCTCGTTGCTGCCTCAGCTATCCTGTTAATAAACTCCATGCCCTCTCTGAAATTAATTTCACAACCTTTAAATTACGGCTCCACTATATTTGCTGTTTGACTTTTTGAATGCTGGGGGACACAGATATTTAGTGAACAACGTAGGCTTTATAAATAATCAGTCACAATATACAAGATGTCAGCTAGTCATGAAAAAGTGACAGATATTCAGATGGCGACTACAATTTCTATAGATGCCAGGAATTACGATCATACTCCTCCTTTAGATATTTCTTTTTATCCTAATATTATTTCACAACTTTACCAACATATCATTCGTTGTGTAAATTTATTCGAACCATCAAGTGAATTGCTTTTAATATTGAGATACCCTCAGCCCTAATTCTTTAGCTAGGAAAGCACATGAATTTGAGAGAACCTACTGCATTTTTTTATCATTCCCCTATTAAGAGGAGGTTAATGACGACTGATCCGTCTCTCCTTTTGTATACTTATATAAATTGTTTTATCATTTATATGAATGCATTTCAGTTTGATTAAAAAAAAAAAAAATTCACGACATCTTGAATTGCGACTCCGGATTCTAGAAATAGCAAAAGATCAGATTTTATTATGCTAATATTATGAATACATTCAAACGCTATGCATGTTGATATTAAAAAAAAAAAAAAATCTAATGCGGAGGTCAAAAGTCTAAAAGCCCCAGAGCTCTTCTTCGTTTTCAAGCTACCTGACCGGCCCGACATGAGAGATCCACAATGATAACAGTAATACGCAAGCCATTTTCAATTATAATTCCATGGGAAAGGCGTATCAGTTAACTCCACACAGAAGATTATTTTACTCTCGGAAAAACAAAATGAGAAGCACATAATCAAGCACCAGGGCTGGTGCAGAAGCTACGATCTTCATACAGTTAGTTCAGGTGTTCAAAAAAAAATCCAAAAAGAGATACTTTCGCAGAGGCGGATACCAACACTCGAAAGGAATATACTATATTTGCACAAATACACAGCCAAAACAACAAATTGAAATTTGAAACGAATATTAGATTTATCGGAAAGCTGACGCATCGATACTCACAGAGAACACCAGGTGATAGCCTGATAAGTTGCCTCAGCGGGGGCGGCCAGAGGAGAGAGTTAATGCCTTCAGGCTTCAAGTCCGCGAGGTGAGAGCGAGGATGAGATGAGAGCAGACAAGAGCCAAGCCCCCAAGGGGTGTTTCTGTTTCCGGAGTACAAAACGTCGCCGTTAGATCACACAAGTTTCTCCTTGGCTTTAAAAACAAGATGGAGAATGACGATTAGTTACTGACAATTTTTTTTGAAAATAAATTAAAAATATTACATATAAATAATTATAAATTCAAAAATTTTAATTAAAAAAATATTTAAATATTAAATATAAATTTTAGATTATAATAAAATTTTTATTTATAACCATTTAAATTGATATTTGTAACAGTTTTTTTAAAAAAAAGTTATTAGAAACTTAAGTATTATTAGTTTAATTTTTTAGAACTTAACTGACATTCTTAAAAAAAAAAACTTTTACCTTCTTTTTGTAAGATCTGATTTACTAGATCTGTCAATATTTTAAGATATTTTTGATCCAATTACACTTGTTAATGAATAAATTAATTGTCTTTAAAATTACACACTAGTCCTTATATTTATTTTTATTTAATAAGATGTCTTAAGAAGAAAACATTATTAAATGCATATTTAATTTAAAGGGTGTTTTTTAAAAAACCCTCATTAAATGTACTTTAAATTCAAAATGCCTATATTTTTTAACATATTACCTCATAAAAAATGTCTTATATTTTTAAATTAGTAGGTCTTTCCACTTGTTATTAAATTCTTTAATGATTTCTTTTTGCCCAGTTCACAATAAAAATTTGATAAGTATAAAAATCACTTAAAAGAGGCAGCTTAAATTCTTTGTTTCATCACCCTCCAATCAGAGGATATCATAATGATCTGTTTTTTTTTTTTAACCTTGCCTTTTAGTATTTTTATGCAATTTTTAAGAGATGAAATTGCAGAGTTTAACAATACAATAATTATTTTCAAATGTGCTTTGTATTTTTGTAAATTAATTTTGAGTTATAAAAATTATGTAATTAATTTTGAAGTTATTAAACGTTTTAATAAATATTTAAAGGTGTTTAGTTTTTTACTCCCAAAAGTTTAATTCATAAAAATTTAAAACTAAACAGAAAAAATTGTACGAATAGAAAAGATATTGTTGGAAGAGCTCTTCTAATTAAAATTAACCATGTTTGAATTTAATTCAATTAAATAGTGATACAAAAAAATGATTATATTACCTCACATCTTTATTATAAGAAAATCATTTTTTTACGAGAAAATCTTGTGGTGTTCTTAAAAAAAAAGAATAAAAATATGTTCTGTAAATATTAATTTCTAAACAGTTAAGGAGGATGTTGATTTCTTTTTTCTTAAAAAATGCTTAAGAACCAATTAATTAGTGGTGGAGGGGACACAAGCATTTCCATACATAACCTAAAATATCAAATCCTAGCCCCTAATTGTCGGGACCCACAAATCTAGGATTTACAAGCGAATTATGATGGCCTTTCTGAAATTTAACACCAATGTGTGATTACAGAGAGACAAAATGCTAAGCACGCATGCATATCCAAATAAATTTAATATTTCTGGTCCCACCCCTAAAAGCTACATTGTCAAGTTGAAGACTCGAACCACTTCTTCTGTCTCTTAAAAAATTTCCGAACACATCATCATGAAAGTAGGTCAATTCCTCAATTGAGTGCTTCTTCATGATATGATTTCATTTCTGTCTCTCTTCATGATTATCCTCCCTTTCCATGACAACCAAATCCCAAATAAGATTCTTCATACTTCATTCTCATTGTCCTCAAGCTTGTTACAGAAACATTTTTTTATGTCAGACATATGAAAGGGACCTTTTGTGTTGCAACCTTGTGGGGTTTTTAAACCAAGCATCATTAACACTAATCATGTCGTTGCTTGACCTTTAATGGCGATTGCGAATACTTTCTGATGCCGAAATGATTTCTGCTATAATGTCTTTATTTCCTTCGGGAAATATATATGTACACGATTGATTGATCTCAACTCAACTATGATCAGAATGTTCAGTAGGAAGAATGCAACTTTAAACATGATGATTGCAGATTAGACCATAATATGAGCCATTAGAGTGTTCTTGCAAATAAATATTCAAGATTTCAATTCACAATAGTGCGAGTCTATCTGCCGTCACATTACACAGTAGATAAGACACAACTTTATACCATAACTTCAGACACATGTACAGAAGAGAAGAAAAGGTTCGTGGGCAATTTTCTTAAACTTCATAATATAATTCTCCGTTGAAAAGACAGTCCATGGATAACGCTTATATTCATACACTTGAAAATAAACACTTGAAATAAAAATTACTTTTGAGTTTTGTCCTGTAATGCATATTAATCAATCATATTGATCCAATCAAGAGACTAAGTCGTGGATGGAAGTTGATCTATTCATAAACATGGGTCGTGGAATTATCTCAAGCCACACAAGGATGGAGTACAAGATAAGTTGAAACGACAAAACCAACTCAGCAACCACAAATTAAAACGACAATGGAGATAACACAAGTTTCTTTTTGTTTTTTGTTTTTTAATACTTTTTTGACACCACATGAGAAAGCTCAATCTAGTACATTGCAGCAAACTCGGCACTCTAGATATTAAGTACTCCAGTATTTACAGTGTGAAAAAACAAAATCAGCCTTCAGTCAAGTATGCAGGCTTGTATGATGTAAGGATCTGTGACATAGAACGGAGGTTCTCTATTAAGAAAAATAAAATGAAGACGACACAACAAGAACCATCAAATGGTTAAAACCTTGCAGAAAACAAATAAACAAACTGAAAACCATTGGAAGACCAATCTTCTCCACTTCCATATAGTAGCACCTCCTGTCAAACTGTGGATTTTTCTATAACTTGCTGGGTCGAACAATTGAAGAGATTCTAAATGGGTTTAATTCTCAGCCTCTCATGTTTCTCTTGATATCTAGGAGCTGCAGTCAAACAACCAGGTAATATTAGAATGGTTGAGAAATCACGATCTGATTGAGAACCAAATTAAGCATAAGTTATCAATGCAGGTTAGCCTACCAAGTCCATTAGCCTCAGATGTTCTCATGATTCGAAGCCTTCTCACTGAGCTGAGAAACATCCTATAAACAATCAAGAAGCATAATTAATGCATGAAAGAATCTTTTACTGGTTGATTAGCGGAGGTGAATGATGAATGTTCTCTTAAGCAGAGGACAAAATGTTGAACATCTAATAATTAATTTGGTCTTAAGCATGACACTTTCAGACACGCCAATTCTTGCACTTAAGAAATGATTTTCTTTCTAAGATTTACTTTCTCAGTCACAGCTTTCAAATGTCTGTCACTCTATTCCATTATATAAAACTCTTCTGCAGAGAGAAGAAATTGGCTGGCTATGGTTTCTTTTTGTTGGTGGTTTTTAATTCCTTATGCTCTCTCATGGTATAATTATGTCATAACGAATTGAAGTTTCATACCTCCAGGGAACATCTCCCACAAGCATCCAATCACCCTCTTTATCTTCATATGTCAGCACAAATTCAGATGTTTCATCCAAAAGCTTAGAGGCTTTTGTTCCAGGTTCTTTCTCACTACCTGCTGCTTATATTTTAAAAAAGTAAAAAAAAAATGTCATAAAGGAATCTTGGGTCAAACCGAATAAGGAATCAATAATCTACCCACTCAACTGCTTGTTCATACACCATGGAGTTTAAACGGAAATGAAAAGTGCAATAAGGAACAAAACATAACTCCATCTTGTGCATAACAGGCTTCAATTCAGATTAATCTTTAATATGATGAAATTCCCTAAACCAAACATAGAATTAAATTGTTAGTCAAGCTGCTGTAAATGTGAAAAGTACTGAAGAGAACTAACCTGCTGATTTAGCAGCTGAAGCAGGCTTGAAAAACATGTCTTCCAGTGTTTGAGCTAAACTCTCATAGCTTGAATGAGAATTCAAGTCTACCTTTCTCCCAATGCGAATTCCATCCACGTTCACCTTAACAAATCCGAGATGGTTTTTTTCAGTCATGTTGCAGGTGCCAGTTTTAGCGACTGAAGCATCATCAAGATTGTTCTTATCGCCGCTGGATTTGTCTTCTTCAGCCCTCTGAGCCTTTGCTTGGTTAATCAAGCTGTTCATCCTATATGCCCTGATGGGTGGCCACCCAACAACTTGACTGCTTCCATAAATAGTAAGAGCACAAGTGAGAGCAGATCAGAGTTTGATCTCTAAAAGACTAAAATCAACGTCATTTATAGTAGAGATGTACATTTAAGGATAGGGAGAATGACATGCAGGTCCTAAATAAGAAACTGAAGTTTGACATATAACTATTGAAGCCTGACTTGTAAATGGGACTGAGGAAATAATCAATTTCCTTATTTGAGATCTGATTGTAATTCTTGCTTAAGGATGAGAGTTGAGCATGCAAGAGAAAAAAGAAAAGAGCAAAATACCCACAAAATACGATGATTTAGAAACAATTAGGAAAGAATAAATTGCTTTGCTTATCTTGTTCGTTGTGTTCAAGAAAAAAGTATGTCTTCACTCCAAGAACCTTATATTCTTTGCTAGTTTATTTACATGTCATCTGGCCTCAAAACAGCGGCGAATCTTTTCTATGTTTTAAATTGATGAATAATAACACAAGAAATTACAGCATACTGTCGCAGTTGAGGCAAGAAAAACAAGTATACTAATCAGCTGCCATCAAGATGAAACGAGCTCTGTTTCGACAACAACACACCAAGACGATAACTGATTCCAAAATGGTCAAAGAAGAGTGAACTTGACTGAGAAACAGTTTAAGCACTTGATTTCAGAATAAAACAGAAACACGCCTTATGGGAACACTGGTAATAACAAGGATATAAAACAGGACTCGTGAAAAAATATTACTGAACTGATCTGACACTACAAAAACATACTTCACTCCGTCATACGAGAAAACAAATTTGAAGTTAAACATGAAAAACTCGACGAATCATCTCACCTGCCAGCAGTGGGAGATCCAGCGTCATGAGAGACAGAGTCGGCAGCTCTCTTAGTCCCAGAAACAGAACCGCCCACAGTACTGACTCTATCCGAGAAACGAGAAGCAGCAACAGAAGGTCCATGAGAGACACCAGAAGGGAAGTCTTTAGCCGTCAAAATACGACCACACTCACCCCATGCAGAAGAAGGCTTGGCCTTGCCGACGCCGCCGCCGCCTCGACCACCGAGGCTCAGGCCCAAACCCAGTTCAAGTTCAGCCTCACCTTTGTACGAGGATGAGCACTCTTGTACCAGAACCTTAGCATTTGACACAGCAGACTCATTTGGGGTAGCCCCAGAAGAGCCACCATTGCCACCACCACCAACTAGTAAACCCAGTGTCATAGAAAAGGGATTGAAGATGGAAGCAAGAGGGATAGAGAGAAATGAAAGATGGGTTTGTGAAGTGAGGAGGGAACGAGAAAGAGGGTGGTAAAAAGGGAAGAACTTTGCGAGTGGCTTGGGAATGAACGGGAGGAACAAGATGTGGAAGACAAAACGGTATAGAAGGACGAGAAAGAAAAGAAGCACGAAAGAAGGGGAAAAGGGTGCTGTTGGAGGTGGTGGAGTTAGTGATGATGATGGGACCCATATGTCTTCTTAGTGCGCATACCACTTCTCATTTTTCTTCCTTTTGCCTTCCCATAATTTATATCTTTCGAGAATAACTCGTTTTTTTAATTAAGTCAAGGTGAGTCTAGCCTAATCTAATCTAATTTTTTAATAATTTTAAAGTTGTATATCTAATTTTATATATTAATTAGTACAAATAACACCTCAAATTGCTTTATTTATCATGATCAAGACTGAATAGTTTTAAAAGTTTTTGAATCCCAGCACCTCTATCGATTCTATGATTATGAAAATCTATTTAAGTCCAATTTTTTTAAGCATTTCTGATATTATATGACTTACTTGTCAAGAATTCAATTTTTGGGGAAAAAAGTATCGTTGAAGTTTATCCAGAAGATTGAGGATAGAGTACATATACTTTCTCACATAGGACATTTTTCAAAAATCTTGTTTAATTTAAAATATAGAGCTTTAAATAGTTCTCATAATTTTTTTTACTATACCCTCACTCTATTTATTATTTTTTTAAGAAATAATTTTTTGAAATTAAGATTTCAACAATTTTTTTACAAAACTTTTCTTTTTGAAATCTTTGTAAAAAAACTTTTTTTCTCAAAATTATAGAACGGACAAGAAATAATAGCATGTAATGACGACAGAGAATGAGACGGATGTGAGATGTGGTGTGGAATGGAGACATGGAAAATGATACGGGGTGATGGCAGGTGATTAGGAATAGTACGAGGGGCTGCTTTTGGTGCTGATTGCAAAAAACGAACTTTTGAGGGGTTGGGGGTGTGAATTAGTATGATAGTTCATCATACATTTGTACGATTTTCTTAATTCAGCTGCTTAAAGTTACCAACCCCATAATTGTTCACCGCATAACATGAAGAAACTACTCCATTGTTAATCCTTAATGCTCTACCTTGCCTCAATTAACGTAGCTATGCTTCTTTTAAATCTCTAATTAACTATCACTGTTCTAAGTTTTATGATAGACGATGGAGTATTTTCTCTCAGCTTTTAAATCGCATTCGATGTAATTCAGTTATTTTTTATTCAGTAGCACCTATTATAGATGTTAATAACTGTGTATTACTTTTAGTTGTAAATATAAGATTGTTTGGCTGTTTTTTTTTTTTTATAGGTTAAAGTTTAGATAAATTGAATATCAACCACGTAGGCATGCCTCTAATATTTGAGTGCTTTAATAGTATAAAATATAAGTTAGTTTTTGAGTCGTTAGATTCTTTTTTCCTTAAATGTTTCTTGTTAAATTTTTTAATTAATAAAATATGAAAAAAATTGGTATTGAAAAAGGTCAATCGTTAATTAAATTAAAGATAAATATTAAAAAATTATGTTTTAATACAAACTTAATTAATTTAGATAAATTTAGTCAAATTTATTCGCATGTATGAAATTAGATATTGTTGTCTTATGTTTGACACAATTGATAGCTGCTTTATTGTGCCAATACCATAAAAACAAAGTTATGTAAATAATAAGGGATTTAAATTTTAAAATCTCCTAATGTAACAAAAAAAATTATGTAAAGCAATAATTTCCATCCCTATTTTTTATAAATTTTAAAAACATTATTATTATAATATTTAAAATCGTAAATTTCTAAACGTCTTGTCATAAATTCGAGAATATTTAATAATAATCTTGATATTTACAAAAATACTTACAATTGTTAGTATTTAGATGATTCTTCAACTTGTCTGTGTTTTTTTGGCCAAAAAAAAAACCTGTCGGTGTTTGGACATGTCAATTGAGCTAGAAGAATTTAATTAGGATGGTTAACATTAACAAAGAGGTTGATTAGGGGTGTGGTGGTGAATCCAAATTTTGATAATTAGAAAATAGAGAAGATTTTGTTTAACAAAAAAAAAATTAACTGTGCTTAACGTCAATTAAGAGTATTAGACTCATGATTTAGGCTCTGTTTCTCTAAATTCTTCTTGGTCTTTGTGATGGTATTATTTTTCTTATAAAAGAATAAATATGAATCTCCTAAATTTCTAGGTCTTAATTTTATGAGATTATTTGCCTTTTTTCATAATTATTCTTTAGCTTAATTTGTTATTTGAGAAGTTTTTTAGCCAGATATAATTTCCATTCATTGTCTTTGAGCACTGAAACTTCTCTTTCTATGTTATCCCTATATACCAGAATAATTTGGTCATAATGGTATAGTGATCTCTCATTTTTGCTTAAACGTTTATATCGATACAATTATACTCTTCTTTCCTCTCGTCTTTATATTGGTGCCAATATTTTTTATACCGGTATAATGGCTTTATTTCCTTAAAACTTCTTTTATACCAATATAGTGACATTTGTTCCCTTAAACTTGGCTTTAAACCACTATTACGGTACAAACATCCTTATTTGGGTATATATACCTTATATGTGTACAAACATGCTTATTGGGATATAGCCACCATATATTCTCATATCATGTACATCTAGTGACCGTCTTTTGTGAAAAGTTATTTCGGTACAATTCATTTATACCCATGCTATAATTTAGCACTTCTTCTCAAAAAGACTTTTAATTATACCAGCACAATACGTTTATACCGATACAACTATAAAGAAATATGCTCTTTTTTATGTTTAACAATTAGTGAGTTTTGAATCTCAGTTGTGCTCTGTATATTTATATTTTAAGTGTTAATTTTTTATTTTTACCTATCTAGTTGTCTTCTAAATACAATTCCAAGTCAATTTAAACATTTTTCAAATTTATCATTGTCATTTATGCTCGTATAGCATTTGGCTTTATTGGTACTAATGTATCCATCTTTTGTCAAAACAATAAATGTATATAACCGTTACTTTGTTTTTACTTGTCGTGTGCGCGCAACTCCATTTAAAGCTACTATGCCATTACCTTATTTCGGAACAACTCATAAAAAAAAGAAGATGAAAAGTCTAATAGCTAATTAAATGTGTTTGTCAAATCGTTAATCAACTCAAACTATAAATAGACATTTTTAAGATGATGTTAGTGAAAAGAGTTATTACGTGATCTTAAGTATTAAATTTTTTACAAACTTTTTGCTATTGTATTAATTGCTATTGAACTTCATTGATTGTATATCCATTTTTAAAAAGAGTTTTTTTTAAAGTAATAATTCATTTTTAAACTTAACTTTATTTATTCCTATTTTTACTTATTGAAATGAAATACTTAAACTCGAGGAGTTTAAGGAGGTTATTCATTACCTTAGCAAAGGGAGTGAATCAGATATATTGTCTGTCAAAAATCTAAATTAATCTTGGTAGAGTGAGTAAATAAAATCTTAAGTATCACTTGAAGATTAGATGTATGCTTAAATCATTGAAAATGAACCAAGATAAATGCGCTTGCATTACTTCTCTCTTTACTCTCAATACATTGGTGATATTGTGCTTTAACTTATATCCTTTATTATGTAAAATTCGTTAAAAATTTATTTAATCCAATTCACCTCTCTTGAAATATTTACACGTAGTACAGGATTAGCACAAAAAAGCAAAGGGGTTAAAGTGAAAAGTGTTTTAGGCAGCACAAGCAAAGCAAAGCATGATCTTGGTCTGGGTTCTCAATGAATATCACTTTCTCCTTCTTTCCTAGGCTCTCATTGTCTTGTATTTACAGGACAAATGGCCACCCAACCCCTTTGTTTTACAAAGCTGGGACCAAAAGAAAATATATATCCTCGTATGCTACTTGGCCCACTCTGGTCTGAGAAAACAACAAAAATCTTCCCCATAATTATTCCTTCAAATATGTTATATTTATTATTGCCACCATTTCATTAATTCTCCTCCTGGGGCCCACAATCAAACACTGCCTTTCAATGCAATTAATTATTTACACATTAAAGCAAAAGCACCTTCACCAACGGTGGCTAGGAACCACTGTTAGTGTCTTTCCATTTAGTAGTAATACATCTCGTATCAAGAATTATGTAGAGTACCGTCTTATTTTATATACCGATCCGTTTCATTTTATAGAATATTTTTATAAATAATTTAACATTTTAAAATATAAGATGTTTTAAAAAAATAAAATTTCATTATCAATCCACATTACTTACCTCTTTAAATATAATTATTTCCTTCTCTTATTAATGAATGATAATTTTGAAAATTTATAAAAAAAGGAATACGATAAATTTTATTTAATAAACTTCATTAATATATGTAATTTTGTCAAAAAAATTATCTTGTAAATTAGAATAAAGTGAGTACTACATGAGGTCTATCCTTTTGATTTAACCTTCAAACTAACTTTTGGGATTTTTCCCCTTAAGATCGAGTTTTAGTTTTGGTCACAGAGAAATTTTTTTAAAATATTAACTGTAATGGATAATTGTACTGTAAAATTAAAAAAAGATTGTTAATTGAATTCGACCTTCATATCTGTGATCTTCTCAAAAGTATGTAATTTAACAAAAACCAGAGCACTTCTACATTGTTTTATTCAAACAAGTTTAAAATCACTTTGTAAATAAAAAGTGATTTTTTATGATCGCAATCAAATTTGAAATATTTTTTTATTTTTAAAATTTTTTATAAAATAAATCGCTTTTATAAAAAAATTAAATTACTTTTAAAATATTTATTTTTTCATTTTAAACAAACGTCCCCTTTAATCAGATATTATGAGATCTAAAATTTGAAACCAACATGTCATTTTGCCAAACAATGCTTTCAAAAACCTGGTCCAAAATTGTGCAAAAGAACATGATTCATTAAAACTGGTGATTTGTTGATTAAATCATATACATCTGCTTCACGTTTCACGGAAGTCTTGTTGGATTTTATTGTTGAGTTTCTTCCGGTCAGCGTTGACTACACCAAAGCACGTTATACAGCGCATTGTTTTCTTCCAAAGCGCATAAATTAAGTGAAAATTATAAGGTGAAAGAGTTTTTTTTTTTTTCTTTCAACTACTCGATTAGGAATGTTTGATATCTTACATTTTTATGGGGTAAAGTATCAAATTTAATCATATACTATTTTTTAAGGAGTATCTGATAACCTAAACTATCAGATGGTATAAAATAAATCATAAACTTTTAAAAATGGAGCATCAGTAACTTACCGTTAACTTCAGCTAACAGATATTATGTGAGACCCACAATGACATGTGGCACGACACATCAATATGATAAAGGTGTAATTTTAGCCACGAACTATTTTTTGAGGAGTACTGGGTAGTCTTTACTATAAAAAAAAAAAGTAGACCATCCAACACTTTCTCCTTAATTTTGATCAAACATCATTTATTTTCATACTCATGAGGTTCACAAAGCATTAATCTCTCCAATCTTCTTGCCCTCATTCTCAATATCAGCTTCAAAAGAAGAGGTTTAATGAGTTCTTATGTGAAGACATTTGGATGATGCCAATAAAGTATAAGCTTGATTTTACTACACATGAGAGAAGTTTGATTCTATATTAATTTAGTCATGAATTACTTTTTCTACTTTGTTAGCATTATCTTCAAATAAGAATTCTTTGAACCTCCTCTTCTCAAGTTGAGATTGAGAATGAAAGCAAAAAGATTGAAGAGATTAATACTTTGTGGGCCTCATAAGTATGAAAATAAATGGTGTTTGATCAAAATTGAGAGAAAAATGTTGGAAGGTTTTTTTTAATAGTAGAGGCTATCCAATGTTTCTCAAAAAATAGTTCATGATTAAATTTGCACCTTTACTCTATTTTTATGTGATGCAGTTTTTTTTCTTTAACATTTTGAAAATAGTATATTGAGCACCCTATCATTAAAAAAATTAACTTCAATAATTAGATGACTTACAAATTGCAAAAAAAGATCTTGAAAATTATAGAAAATAATCCATAAAATTATAAATAAGCACCTTATAAGAAATTAATATCAATTAAATTATATATAAGTAATAGAATACAAATGTTATTTCTTATCCATGTAAAAGTTCAAACTACAATTTTGACTAACTATTATTTCAAGAACTTAATCAATATTAATTTTTTATAAGATACTCATTTGCAATTTTACAATCTTTTTTAAAATTTTTTGGTCAACCATTAAGGTTAACTTTTTATTATTATTATTTTTACTGCAAAGTGTCAAGGGCATCATTTTTAAATGTTGAAGGGAAATATTGATCCACCCTTCTTTGGCCAACGGGGAGCGGCCAAATAAAGAAAATCTTTATATTTTTAATTAAAATATCAACACTTTAATATTTAAAAATAAAATTTTATAAGTTTGCAATTGAAAATTCACCAATTTAGTGAAAAAGAATATGTTCCGTCTAACCCAGTTATATTTGATAATTTTAAACTTCATCGGTATTTTTTGATTGCGCACATATATTATTTTATTTGAAGTAATCATGTTTAAAGCAGAGTTAGACATTAAGACACATCTTTCAATATAAATTTCAATTTCAATTCACCACATTACGAGGAATTAACTTTTTTTGCCAGACTTAAGCCTTGTTGATGATTTCATCAATATATTTTTTTTAATGGCCCATTGGCATTCTGTCAAAGGATATATGAGAGTGTGGCCTACTCAAGTCTGAGGAGATTTTGGAAGGAGTTGCGAGACTCCGGATCTCTAATGACATTGAATTCGAAGAGCAGAACTTCATTGCCTTAATGAATGACCTTTTCCTGGGGTTTCAATTATTATTGTTTGGTTGCTTCGCCACTGCTCTACATTTTAACTATGAAAAAGGATCAAATTTACTCATATATGACAGATGATGTCACTTAACTTAGATCGATTAGATAAGTAGGCTTTGGTCATGGGACGTGATTGGCTTCATCAAAGAACTTGAGGTTTACTAGCCGAGGTTTAGCAGCTAAGCTGGATTGAAAAATTAAGACAGCGAGACCTTATTATATAAATTTCTAAATCGTAAGGACTAAATTTAAAATTTAATAAAAATTATATACACAAAAAAGCTTAACAATTTGATTTATAAATACATCAATCCTTTTTTTTTTAATTCCTACAACTTATCCAAGCCTGTTCCATAGTGAAAAACTAAATATAAGCACGTCTTTAAATGAGCATTTAAATATTGGTTTATCAAATTGGATGAGACTAACTTTTTCTACTAGATTTAATGCTGATTGGTAATTTATTATGATGCTTTAATATATATTATTTGCTACATCAGACTTTATAGCTCCAACTTCCAATATCATTTAAGAAAAAATTGAATATGTTTCATCTAACCCATGTGGTATTTAATAATTTTAAATTTTTTTCTACTCTAACTCAAATTTTTTAAAGTATGAACAGGTTTTAAATTAGAGTATCTTTTTCAATAAAAATTCAAACATTTATTTGTTTTCTTGTGAGAAATTAAACTCCTTCACGATACCCAACTTCTAATTTCATGGATGCTTTGATACATACTATTTGTCACCAATATCCTGAGACCCGCATAGCTCTAAATTTCATAATTATTTAAGAGAAATTGAAGATATTCCATCTTACCCAATCGTATTTGATAGTGTAAAAGTTTTTTTAAATTAATACTCGCTCAAATTTATACTGTTGAATACTTTTTTTTATTATAACTCAATTTTTTTAAGTATGAAGAGGTTTTAAATTAAAGTATCTTTTTCATTAAAAGTTCAAACATTGATTTGTTTTCTTGTGAGAAATTAAACCCCTTTACAATGCCCAACTTCTAATTTCATAAATGCTTTGATACATACTATTTGTTACCAATATCCTGGGACCCTCGTAGCTCTAAATTCCATGATTATTTAAGAGAGATTGAATATGTTTCATCTTACCTAGTCGTGTTTGATAGTGTAAAAGTTTTTTAAAATTAACACTAGCTCAAATTTATAATTTAATTCAACCACCTGATTGACCACTTCTTCTTAAGAAGCTGTATATGGTGATCGGATTTCACTGTTACTGAGGAAGCCATGATAATTGAAAATTGTAAACCGGCAAAACATCGAATGGTGATAGACCTGGATTAAACTAACATTATATTTAAGATTTTACCAGATTCTTATAATATTTTTTTTTCTTCGAGCTGTATTTAACATTACATTGTTAGCTATAATTTAGCAAGTCTCACACCGTTATACTCGTAACACAATTGCAATAAATATTGACGAGCACAGACGATGGGGAAAAAGTTTCAAAACTGCGACCAAAAAAGCCTCTGATGTGATCCTCAGTCAACTATCAATACTAATATACATCATAAATATGATAATAATTGAATAAATATACTTAACAGTAGATCAATCCCATATATAATTGTGGTCTATATCTTGTTAATTTCCCCTTTCTCTCCTGCTTTTTCCAATTTATAAAAGCAAGAAGAAACAACATATTCCATTAAAAAGGAAAAAAGGAAAAGAATTACCAAAAGCAAAGAACTAGAACCAGGCACAAGCTCTTACCCACAAGTGTCAACCCCTCTCCTGGTCCTTAGCATCAAAAGCATTTTTGCATGAAATTCTTCCGTCGTAACAAAAATGCGCACCCAGCGCCATTCAGCACCTCCATAACCGTCACGATCCCATCTTCACGTCCGTCTCGATTACAATCATCGTTCTCATAATGGGTCGGGTCGATCACATCAGAGGAAACTTGCATCATCTGCCGACGGCGTCCGTCTGCGTCCGGCTGCTTTCTTCTTGGAATTGTCACCGCCGCAAACGATACTGCATTCACAGCCACAAAGGTTGCTGAAGCACGAGAACAAGCCATTCCCTCCGTCCGTGTGCCTTCTGTTATGCATGGATTTTTTGCTCTTGGTCGAGGCCGGGTAGCTGGAGAGCTCACCGCGATCGTACACAGGTGGAAGCTCCGTCCTCCACCTCTCCAGCTTTGATTGTAATCCCTCCACGCTCTCGTCCAGGCTCCATCCACCCACTGTGGAATTCTCACCCTCGTCTATCTTCGGATTTTTTGCCAAAGCCGCTGCCACCTCCGACGGTGATGGTCCAAGCTCCGATTCTGTTATTACCGGAGGAGCTATGCCTCCCAAATTGGATCTTCGCGGGGTTGCGTATTCCAAAGCGGGATTGAACTTCCCGATTGAATGCAATGGAGTACCCTTTGGCGTGGCCTTACGGGATCCTCCGTAACCTACCGCTTGATGCAAGGGCGTATTCTTGTGAGAACCTCCGTACCCCACCGTCGGATGCATTGGCGTATTCTTCCGCGAACCTCCGTAACCCGCCGTCGGATGCATTGGCGTATTCTTGTGAGAACCTCCGAACCCGACTGGTGGTGTTTGGAGCAGCTTCGGACCCGGAGAATTCCGAAACTGCTGTTTCGGTGATGCCTTGACTTCATACACATCGTTGGTTTTATGAAAGAGTCTTTGGTTTTCGAAGGCATTGAACTTCTCGGTCGTGTCAGGAGTGTCGTCGGTCGTTTCTGATTGGGTGGTCAGTGATTCGGGCGCTTGCAGTTTGTGGCTCTTGTGATCGATGACATCAGAATCCTTAACATTGCGACTTGGACTAGTGGATTTAACCATGATCGGCTTCTCACTCAGGTCGGAGCCGCTAAGCATAGAATCTGGCCTTTCAAATTTTGCCCTCCATTGGCGCCCAGCCCCAGGCTCGCTGAGAACAGAGGTTGGTTTTCCAAATTTGCCCCCTCCTTCGCTCACCTCGGAGCCGCTAACTCTGGAGCTAGCCCTGGAGCGTGAGCGGCTCTTTCTCCTGCTGCTCTTCTTAGAGTTAGCCTCTGAAGATGACAACGCCGAAGATGGTTTTCCCCTCGTGCCCCTGAGCCGTTGCTGTCGAGCGCTGATCATGGAGCTGGTGTCGCTTTTGGTTCGCCGGAGCTCCGGCTTGGAAACATGTCGAGGGCTCATATGATTATGATACTCATAAGCATCTTTCTCGCCCATCAAATGTCGATATCCAACGGCTGAGGGATTGTGAGTGTACAGAGGCATGCTCCTCATGGAGCTGTCAAGCACCGCCACCCCAATGTTCAAAATCCCCTGCGGGCGACCCGACGGTCTTCGGACTTGGAGCGCTCCGAACCGCATCCCTGAGGAGGGATTGTTTCTGCGGGGGTAAGGAATAAGGTTAGCGATGAGGACCCGGACGGATCCAACGTGGATGTCTTTGAACCAATGGAGAGCGTAGATGTCGATCATGATGGCTGAGGTGTCGGCATATAAGAAGTCCTCATCGACCCGGAAGACAAACTTGTCATTCCAAGTCGGGTTCTTGTGGCCGTGGGTGTCGACCCGAGTGGATAGCTTCCGATCAGGGTGGATCCATGCAACCGCATAGGTTCGCATGGACCGAGACACAGGAGACAAATCCTGGGCGGATATGACATTGAGTTCCAAGAGCTGGAAAGGAGCGGGCAAACGAGACATGATAGGAAACCAATTGGTTAATTAACCAGATCTTCAATTAATGAAGAGTTAATTTTAATTAGTTTGGTGATTAAGGACTAATCACGTGAAAAGCAAGGAAGGAAGAAGGGGGTGTTCAATGGATCCCGCTCGTCGTCCAAGAGGAGGACGACGAGGAAGGGCGTGACATTAAGGTGTGACGAGAGGGGAGAAAGAGGAAACAAAAGCATTAGGGAAACCGCAGAGTGATATTAATTTGTATTAAGAATATAGCAAATCAAAGGAAGTTATTGGTTGATTTAGGAACGTTAATTTTCCAGCGTTGTTTTCGGTGAGCGTGTGGGGATTTTTTTTTTTCTTTTTAATTGCCCATGCGTTTCATTTGATTTGGCGTCAGAGTTTGTTTGGCCAGATTGTCGTGGTTTTTCCTTTTATAGAATTTCAAATAGCTTTACACGGTTTAATCCAAAAAAAAAAAAAAAACTTCAGTCTACTTTTGTTTTGCAAAAAATAAAACAAAAATCGACTGTTCATGATTCAATGACGCGTGTCTAATGAAATGTTGAGCGTCAGCGGATTACGTACGTGGTGGGGACTGTTAGAATTAAAGATGACACATGCATGTATCGCTTTTTGCTAACGTTGCTTTTACCGCCACCTTAACAATTGCTATCTGGTATTCCCGCTTCAAAAGAAGAGGAATAATCTCGTTCAAATAAATAGTAAACCCCGTCATGAGCGTCCAAAATTTAAGATTTGAGAAGACAATCTAGTTTCCTAAAAAAATAATACTGTACTGAATTACAGTCAAATAACAAAAAAGAAAGAAAACTACCTATTTTTATTTGATTCTACTTCCCATTGTAAGATAAGGGAACTAGGAGGGGAGGACCGGGACAGAATATAGATGCATTTCAAAATAGGATTGGGTTCAAATTCAATATCACTCTGCTCTCTTGGATAAGACCACACTCTTATGGCTACCAGGTTGATTGAATGCCTTGCTTTTTCTTTTTTCTTTATGTTTAATTGTCACGTGATTCTCCTTTGACTACTTATATCAAATGCTTTGGCCCCGGTGTCTGGGTTTGCATCCGAACTTGCTCTTCATGTAGTGCAAGATTCACTTTAATTGGAATCACGTGCATCTTGTTACGTGTATGTTACCTTTTGACCTTTTATTGGTGCTGCAGATGAAGGCATTTTTCAAATCATTTTACTTGAAACCCATACTATTTTAAAACCTCTGTTTATTTATCTTTAAGTACGAAAATGTTACATTCTTTTGATAAAATATATTCACATTCATCTGGTCCTGATTTGAGCGGAATATGACAAATTAATATGAAGTTTGAAATGCATAAATTTAAATAAATTTAGTTAATATCTGAACCTCTCTGGATGGGATCTAGTCAAGCATAATGTACGGAGCTTTACCGGGAATATTATTTCATATTTTCACTCACATCTTGTCAATTAAAAAAAAAAAAACATAATATAGTCTCATATAGATTGGTCAACTCTCATGCCACCGCTTGAAGCGACATGCTTCCTTCCTCCTCGCACGTTGTGTCTTTAAAGCGAGCTTCGAGTTGATGGAAGTGAAGGAAATCCGACTTCGATCAGATTTCAAGTTTCTCAGTTCTCACCGTTTAATCAACATCTGAATACGCTTGACAGCGCTCGACACATATATGGTTGTTCTTGTTCCATGGATGAATTTCGTGGCTCCGAATCCCCAAAGAAGGATGATTCACTTGATCATAACCTAACCATGCGCACAGCTCCATCATTTTGATATCTACAACTGCAATCAAGGGTTCGGAGATGGAGATAACGACGCGGAAGGGTTTTTAGAGAGAACCATTACTATTGGACAGGGGATAGAAGCCTTGGGTAGTCGTGAGTTTAGCTTCGGTAAGAAGGAGATGGACTTGATTGAGGAGGAAGGGGAGAGTGAGAAGGATGATTTCAATGAGATTTGGAAATCGGGGGTTCAGGAGGATGTTGAACCGGCTAGCCCCCCAATGTATTTAGCAGCAAACCTTGGGGTTGACGGAACTAGGTTTGGCTTTCATAGCTTTCCTATTGATGATTTATGTCTGCCAGACTTGGATGGAAGCGGCGATGTTGAAGCGAACTATAGGAGAATGGTTGATGAGTATCCTTGCCACCCTTTGATTTTGAGAAATTATGCCCAGATTTTACAAGTGAGTCCCCCTTTTTTAATTCCCACTCTGTCGTCTCTTTAACGGTTTCGCTGTTTCCGCTTGCATTAACATGATTTTGGAAAAGAAATGTAAGTTAAAGTTGTGATACCCAACCCAAGCCTTGACCCTGATAATACTGTTTTATTCTTCTGTTGATAGACTTGAGTGTTTCTAGTCTGGCTTTTTCAGGCACTAACCACTTTGTCAGTGTCAATAATCATCCACTTTTTCAGCTAACTCTTTCGCATAAGGAGTCTAATAATCATCCATCCCAAATATAATCTAAAGCAGAAAAAATGTGTGTAATGTCCTGTATCAAGATACTTTGGTAACAAATTTCACAACCACTAGGAGTACCCGTCTATCCAAAAACTAAGAAAGGTGTCAAGAAATAGTTGCCAAGTTATCTAAGTATTTGCTTTTTCCTTTTTATGGTTTCGTTGTCGTTTAAACAAGTATGATATTTCATCTTGTTCTTTTTTTCTCAGATGCTGATCTTTACATTTTAAATTATACTGGCAGTCTAAGGGAGACCTTGACATGGCTGAGGAGTATTTTCTGCGTGCTACTCTAGCAGATCCGAATAATGGTGAAATCTTAGTGCAGTTTGCTAAGCTGGTTTGGGATCTCCATCGTGACAAGCAAAGAGCGTTAGAGTATTTTGAACGTGCAGCTCAAGCTGCCCCTCCAGACAGGTGGGCATTCTAACACACTTACGTAACTCAATTTAAAAAAATGTGTAGCCTGGACAGTGTATTTAAATAATTGCAATTGCCATTTTCTAATCATCTAATAACCTCTGGACTGGAATATTTTCTGCAAACTCATTGTAAGAAGCAGAATTAGGATGATTCACTTTAAACATTCTGGATGCTGTTCCTTACATGTCTTAAAAATAATAGTACACATTGTGTATTCCTTTCAGCCATGTTCTTGCGGCATATGCCAGTTTCCTCTGGGAAATAGAAGATGATGATGATGAAGGTGGAATACATGACACTAACAGCAAGGTGCTCCTTTCTTTTCCTCATGTCATTTTTCTTCACAGGGAACATTGCATTTCTCTGATGATCTATATATATATTTTTAAATTATTATAGTTTGTGATTAGGTGCAGAATGATAACAATGAACAAAAGTTTAAATTTATCAATCCCCTGAAACGAGATGATCAACCAGCTAGCCTTTTCCTGAACCCTGAAGCAGGACAAGATATTGGTGCAGCAGATTTTACGGCAGCTAACTATGGCAAAGATACGAATATTGAGGACTACTACTGGAAGATGATTGATGAAAATCCTACCAACCCTGTGTTTCTGAAGAGTTATGCTCGGTTTCTGATTCAGGTGAGATATGTATGTATTGCTATTCATGTTCTTTATAGTCACCTTTATTCACAAGCAAGCTTAACTTCAACATGATTGGAGATATTGAACTTTCTATTTTGTTTAGATACTAAAAATTGCTTTTACCTTAAGGAGGCAAAGTTTGGCATGATGCATTGCCGAGACAAATTGCTATAATTTCTGGAATTTCTCAGATGCTTGTCTTTGTTTAGAACACGTATAATATTTCTTCTTGTCAGTCTTTTTCTCAGATGCTGATTTTTGTTTTGTGATATTTACTGGCAGTCAAAAGGAGACCTTCATGGGGCTGAAGAGTTCCTTTCTCGTGCCACACTAGCAGATCCGGATGATGGTAAAATCTTGATGCAGCATGCTCAGCTACTGTGGGAGCTACATCAAGATAGGGATAAAGCATTGACCTATTTTGAACGTGCAGCCCAAGCTTCTCCTTTAGATAGGTAAGCATTGTACCACTATAATCTTCCTTCCAAAAATAAATGTGGTCTTTATTTGTTTCAATTTTAAATGTCCAAATTATCTAATTAATCCGATTGCTTCTGGGCTGGAGTGTTTTGTTACCACAATGTTACATTCAGAATTTGGCTGCTTCAGCATGAAAATGCAGAATTTTGAGTGTTATATGTTTGCAAGGTAACAGTACACAAATGGAATTTTTTTCAGTGATGTTCTAGCAGCACGTGCTAGTTTTCTCTGGGAAATTGAAGATGGTGAGGAAGAAGGTGGAAAACAACAAAGCAACAGTAAGGAGGTGCTGCTTTGCTCCAACACCCCTCCACCCAAAAAAAAAAAAAACAATTCTATTGGTCATCATGTATTCTGAATGAGTCACATGGATTATTTATATCTTTATCTTTAAAACTGACTGCAGAAGGGAGCACATGAACATGACAAAATCAAGGATGATGCAACAGATCTTACTCTGGCTAACTATGGAAAAGATGGCAGTGTTGAAGACTATCATAAGATGATTGATGAAAATCCTAATAACTCTTCCATTCTGAAAAGTTATGCTCAGTTTCTGATTCAGGTGATATACGCATGCTAAATAAACAAATTTTGACAATAATCAAACTCTGAACTGTAGTGTCACACACCCACAGGTCTGTCAAGTAATGGATATTTCTGAAGGGATTGTTGTTAGCCAAATCTGCGAGTTTTAAGTGGCCAATGGACTCATGCTTCTGAATTTTGGTGACTGCGTCAATACACTAACTCTTTTTCTTCCAACTTTTCTTTTGGGGATGTGGGAATGGGAAGAGGGGTATAATATATGTTATAATGTTACTGGTAAATGCTCAGCCAAGACACTCTTTTAGGGCTTTATAAAACATATTTTCTCTCTACAGTTTCTGGGCAATATGTTTTAAGAAGATAAACAACGAAAGAGGCAAAAACTATGATTAGTTAGTTGAAACACTCTAGCAATGAAACAAAATTTCAAAGAAGGACGAGGTTTGGACTTTGGACTGCCTCCAAGTATAATTGAGTCCAGATTTTCTCATGCTCGAGAACTTCTCTCGTTGGGGTGATCTCCCCACCACACGCACACTGTGTAGGACCCACACAGGTGGGCTCCACTGAGCCATTCCCATTGTGTCACTCTCTTTTATGAAGGGTCTCCTAAACATGAAAGAATCTGGACTATTGTCCCAGAGGTAACTATCTTTATCACAAACGTTGTCTTGTCAAATCATTTAATTGCACATAGTCGTGAGGACACTTTGCCTAACAAATTAATTGTTATAACTTGATTTAGGGGAAGAGGAGGAACCATTGCACATGCCTAACTGAAACGCCCTTGATGGCAATAACTTGGGTTGATAGTTAACTCACTCCGTGTCTTTTTCTCAAATATTGTACGCATAAATTTGGGGCCTAAAAAGTTTATTTTTCTCTCATTTCTTTAACCCTCTTCCTCTTTCTCACCTTTAATGTGCAGACCAAGAATGACCATCAGGCAGCAGAAAAATACTATTCGCGTGCAATCTTAATTGATCCTTGTGATGGTGAAATGATCTCGGAATATGCAAAACTGGAGTGGCAACTTCATCATGACTGGAGAAAAGCGTTAACATATTTTGAGCAAGCAGTTGAGGCTACTCCAGAGGATAGGTACAATTTTGAGATGCAGTAAAATATATGTTGTCTTGTCTCATATGCCTGTTTAATATGGATTCTTGAGTGCGGGAAAGAAAATTTCAGCTTTAGCCATTCATGTGATCCCCTTCCTGATTCAGTGTTCATCCTGTTGTCAAAGAATTGTTGAATGATAGATGGCTGGTTTCCGTGAACATAATGTTTTGGTGGAATTCTGAATTACTGAAGCAGTGAAAACCTAACTCCAACATCCGCAAAACTCTGCATGATTAATTTAGGATGAAATTAATTGGTTTCCCATTTCTGTGTTTGTCAGCAATGTTCTGGCGGCATATGCTTGCTTCCTCTGGGAAATAGAAGATGTGGAGGCTGCAATTTCAGGGTAGAAACTCTTTGAAGTGCCTCTTACACAAGAGATCACCATGGAAGCTGCCAATTCTCAAAAGAAATTGTTAGTGCATTTACAGATGTCAGCTGAATGCTCACAAAGATTAAAAAACTAAATAAATGAATAAATCGTAATAGTACAAAATAGCGGCAACATCAGATTAAAGTCTAGAAGTTGTTCTTGCCTTTTTTTTTTTAAGAAAAAAATCAGATTTGAATTGTTGCACATCCCATTTGGGGTGGGTTTGATTGTCAATTGAAGTTATGAACATCAATAGTCCATTCCTGAGAAAGACAAGGTGTACAATGCCCATAAGAATCCTTTTTATTTGGTCAAGCCCATAAATTAAAATTGAAATGCACTTGCACTCCCGGTGAGTGTGCTTTAGTTGCACTTCCCAATCAGGGTAGATAAGCTCTCTAGTATCCTCCAACAATTTCCTCGTGTGACTGGAACTACCATCTCTCATCGAGGAGTTTATGGCTCCAAGAGAGTCATAGTACGTGCGAAATTTGGTAAATCCCATGGACTTACAAATTCTAACCCTGTCCAAATGGCTTGCATTTCAGTTTCCGCAACGCTTTCAGCACTTGGTTTCTTTTGGAGTACCCACAAGGAATCAAGAATAGCCAAAAAGATGAGAGCAAACATTCACAATTCTTTCTCAAATGAACTTTAATAGTAAATTACGCAATTTAGTTCCATAACTACTAAAAGTAAAAATGTTAAATCTATAACATAAATATTAATAAAACATGATCATAATTAGTAACTTATTTCTCAATTTTCACTCATATCTCAAATTTGGTAACCTGTAATCCCACGCTAAAACAAAGGTAGGTACCAGTATTACTTTCGAAAACATGCAATGTCTTATTAGTAGGCATTACTTATAGTGAAATGGGTTATAACAACTTGAATATGAGGTCTCAAGTTTAAATTTATAAAAATTAAAAATGTTTTTAAGAAGTTATTTTCAACTCATAAAAATAGAAATTTAAGAGAATTATTTTCAATCGAACTCAACTGGAATCTAACCCCATCAAGTAGCGATTAAAAAAATATGCAATGTCTTGAAAAGTTTGCACGAATGAAAATGGAACTGAAATGGTAACGTCAAATCCATGCAACTCACTTCAAGGAAAGTAGAGGCTCAAACAAAATGAAAGTCGGAGATAATGTATTGAAATGTTTCCATCAAATCCATTTGAGAAATAAATGATTACAAATACATTTGATTGAGATAACGACATGAGATTTCAGCAAGGCAGACACAAATCTCGCATGTTTCGGACTGCCGACTCGACATAAAATTCCCGAGGAAATAATTAATATTAAAACCAGACGCCCCTTGAACAAAACGGCTATGAAAAACGAAATATGCAAAATCCATAAACCTACAACGTCTTCCGCAGGTAGACTTAAAAAATATTGACTATTGGTTTACTTCTCCGATAAAATCGACTATATAAGAACTGGAATATTTGGACCCAAAACTTGAATCTCCTTAGCAGAGAATTTTATGTTGACTCTGCCAGATTCTGACCATTTCTTGGTACTTGGTGCCCTGAATATCCTCTCTCCTGCCGAGAACTGGGTCGGTAGAAACCATTACCTCTTGACGGTTTGTTATAATCCCGATCACCTCCATCTTGGCCGTTTCCCCTGCCAAAGCCCCTTGAACCAAAACGCCCTCTTGGTGCCTCTGATTGATAGCCGCCCCTGCCTCTGCCTCTCCCTGTCGATAATATAGTAGAAATGAACAAGACATAACAAGACAAAGGGGGAAAATGAGTCTACATCAGGAAACAAAATGCCACTCAAAATACCCCTGATATACAGTTAGCATGCCAAACGTCCAAACCAGCATTAAAGATGAGTCTTAGATCAGCGTTACTTGATATCTCATTTTGAGTTTTGCCAATAGCATATGGAGAGGACACTAAATTGCAAGACAAGACCGACAAGATTTGAACATGAGACTACAATTACAAACCTAAGGTGAAGATTCAAGCATAAACAGTACATATTAATCCATATGCTCTCAAGAGTCAAGACTGTCAGCTAGCCATGATGTCTACAACAACAGAGGGATGAGGGATATTTATTCACAAGAATTTCAGAAAGAGACAAACTAACAAAGAAAACCGAATTTAGTAACAGTAGTGATAAAGATAGACTTACTTCCTCGTGAAGGAATGTAACTGTTTGGTCTTCGCTCTTCGATGTATACCTGTCTTCCAGCAATCTGCACAGTGCTCACCTGCAAACATATAAAACATAAGGCTCATGAAAAGAAATCCAGTAAATATGCACAAAGGACAATATAATTTGTAAGTGATAACAAAGATCAGAAGCTGCTCATTAGTTCAATAATGCAGTACCAAAAATTCATGCCTTTTGTTGCAACTAATATTGTTGCAACTAATATGTCTAAAATATTAATTTACAGCTAAGACAGGATTATGCCAACTCTTTAGCAGCAGAAATCTTAAATTCACGACACAAAAGCAAACCCAAACCTTGACTGCATTGTGAACCCCATTCATATCCATGAATTCAACAAATGCATAGCAAACACCAACGTCCTGAAATTAAATGAAAACTTTAGATATCGGGGCATACATGAACCACTAAAAAAAGTTTCAAAAGATGTAAAGACCAGACTTTGCGACTTCGGATAACAACACCATCAGGCCTGATTGGACCAAACTTTTTAAATTCCTCCTCAATTTCAGAAGCAGAAACAGCAGGAGACAAGTTTCTCACGTAAACAGATTTGATTTCACCTGAAAGGATTCCAAATCAAATCAAAATTCAGGACGACAAGTATATAATAAAAACTACATAAAAAACGACTTCCTCATACAAATTAGTCTGCACACAGAAGAATGAGGCATAAACCATCCAAATGTATTTCAAAACCTAAGACTAATGTGACTAATAAAAATAATAAATATATAAACTCAATTCTTAATATGTTCAAACAAGTACTGTGCAATAACCTTCATCTTCCATTGCAGGAACCTCCTCCGCTGCCCCTGCATCAGTGTCTGGCCTTTCAAATGTGTTTGCCGAAGTTGGTTGCTGACTACAAGTCTGAGGATCCCACTCTGAGGACACATGCTTGTCATAAGAAGGTTGGGCAGGCATTGATGGTGTAGGTTGTCCTTTAGCAACCCGCAACTTCCAACAACAGTCCAATAGTCAGTCCCCCAAATCACAACAGAATCCATTAAAAAAATCATTATTTGGAAATTAAATTAACATTTAGCAAGGCACATACAATGGAGGCATAAGTATGCTTTTGGGGCTCCTCAGCAGGTTCCTCAGCAGAAGCAGGCACATGGTCTTGCACCACATTCACTGTAACTTGAAGTGAGCCATTTGACTCTTCAGCGGTATTATCCTCCCTGATATGTTCGGAATCAGAGACATGCTGCATTCTTTGCTCTGAGTATCCATAATTGTCAACTACACCATTTTCTTTGACCTCATTAGTAGGAACAAATTCCCTCGCCTGGATATCTGCACCCAGCAGGTAACTGGACACTGGAAAATTCATAGATCTCATTTACTAAAAAGAATAATTTCAAGAAACGTTCATCCCAAGATCAGTCAAACTGTTATTTGCATAATATTTCTGTAAAATAAAGTTCTAGAAAAATCTCAAAAGAGATGCCCTCCGAAAGGATTATAATTAATACACAGTTTGAATCCAGCTGTGCTCTAAGTTGTGAAACTTGCCTGGCATATGGAAATTTTAATGTCTATGGTCAAGATTAAACTTTCAAATTACATTTTAATTTCTTGTCCTAACAACCTCTATGGGCTCTCATTCATCAATTTTTTCATGAGATTAAGAGTTAATCTTCAGTAAATTAGTGGCAAGGATGCAATTTTTTCAACCAAATAGAGTGCAATGCGTTTGTAGTTAATGTGACAATAATGACTGGTGGCAGTAGAAAGCTCATGATAATGTAGAAAATACAACTAAGCAATGTTGACAAGCTACTGTGTGCGTATTAAGAACCATAAAGGCACTAATACAAGAGACAGCAGTATGGAAAGATGAACAAAATTAGCAAGGATGAAGTGCTAGAAGCAGTAACGGTGGTAAGGGAATTGCTTGTGCAAGGAAGGTATGGGTTTCTCAACTATGGGTTTCTGAAAAAAGAAAAAAAATGCAAACTTCAGATACTCCAGGACAAGCAAGACACTTGATTGAAGAACAAATGAAAAAAGATTACTAAGTCTGAACAATAAATACAAAAGAAAAGGGAGCGACTATTGTAATTAATTACATATCTAGAAACTCAAATGGTATCTTCTCCTTTGTTCCTATTTAGCTATTTAATTTTTGCATAAAGTGAATTAAATTAAATTTAAGGAGGGGAACAATGAGGCTAAAATGAAATATACCTGGTTTATTAATTGACATTGGAGCATTCAATTTAGAATCAAGATTGCTTTGGGAAAACAAGACTGCTTGGTGGTGGGGAATTGGATCCTCTTCAACAAAGTGAAATATATCATTGAGCACAAAAAAACCTTTTTCTTGGGGTGCAAGGAAAAATGTCTGCATAAATTTCCTTCTCTGGTTGTATTCCTTCATTTGCACAGATCCAGAGACCATCACAAGAACACCAGCACTCCAAGACTCCAGAGAATGTGCTGACTTGATTTCAACTCCAGCATATCTGAGTGACATAACAAGTGCATGGATTTGCTGCCCACAGAGAAATTTCTTTAATTCTGGAGGGGAAATGAGTGATTTACTAATTGCACACAAAAATTTAGGGGGTGGCGATTACATCATTACAAGTTCAAAATCGTACAACAAATAAGGAAGGACCTGCTAATATGTAAGAAATAAATCAGCAGCCACTAGACAGCACCTCTAAGTATGCTGAGAGTTAAAAATACTATTTTCAATACAGGCCCCTTTTATCTTCAAACCACCTCCGAAAAAATGGGAATCAGTTTTATGGTTTGAGTATTTGGCAAACCATAATCCAAGACAGCAACTATTCACCAAATAGAGAAAGGAAATTTTCTGCGGTGCGATTAAGTGCAATTCTACAATCAGTGTAGGCGTAAAGAAAAATTCGAGGTCGTCTCAATCTACATTAATAAAGCTCAAACATATATTTCCATCATTTATAATGGCCCATGAGTATTTGTACCAGAAGATAACAAAGATAACAAGATACATTATAATCCAAATGGGACGAAATACAGTCACGAATGCAATAATTAACCAATGCGGCAGAGTGAAGACAAAGGAGACAAGAATTACTGGCATTGTGGTAGCCGTTTCCCTGTTGTTGCCGTCTATACGAAGCATGGTGCTGGAATCAGAGTAAAACTGATGCACAAACTCAGGCTGATGCTGGAGAACCTGGTAATACTGCCCAACAAAGTACGTCCCAACCTGAAACAGTCGGCCCAGGCGAACCCATTAGAGACAGATGAGAAGCTTCGACAGAGAGAGCAAGCAATAAGAGGCAGAGTAGAAGAAACCTGAGCAGCAGTAAGGGGAAAGGGATAGGGCGAGGCCATGGCGAGTATAGACTCTTAAACCCTAGAACGGAGCAAAACCACAGATCCTATATGCCTCCGGAGATCTGGGTATCACCACAAGCAAAATCTTGGTAAGTTCACATACAAGAATATGAGAGAGATCTAAGGCAAGATTAGAGGGAGAAGGTACCTTTTGAGGAGAGAGAGGGAGAGACAAATAGAGAGAGGGAGAGAGAGATTTGGAGTGAAGGATCCCCTCCACGGGTGGGGTGTCGTGTGGGGCTTTTTGTGTAGATGCTGCGACCTGCAGCTCAGCCCTTTCCCCTCACTTAGCCGTCGCCCACAATCTCAACCCCCCCACCCCCCAATCCCCACATGGCCCCTCAATCAATTCTACTCCAATATACATGTAATAAACAAGTTATTTAACCATTTTAAAGCACATTATAGAATATTCTTTATTTTTTAGCCAAAATCATAAAAAAAAAAATCAAAGAGAGAGAGAGATACACGCATATTTGGAATTGATTTCAAGAAAAAAAATATTAATTTTATTTATTTCATTCAATTTCTATTTATTATAAATACGAATAAAATGACACTCTAGTTTAAATTTAATATAATTCTTTAAAATATGAAATTAGTTTTAACGTTAAAAATAATTATACTATTAAAATCATTTAATTTAATTTTTTAAAGAAAAATACGTTAGTTTAAATTGAAAGGAGTCTCCTTGGTAAAACAATAAAAGAAAAAAAGAAGGAATGTAATCTCATAAGGGTTGACAATTCTGGTTGTGGAAATTTAAAAAAAAAAATTCCAACATGTCATTGACATTTTTAATAAAAATAGTTGAAATAGTGAATTACTCTCTCTCTCTCTCTCTCCCTCTCTGTAAAAGAAAACTGTGGACAAGGAGATTATCTTCCACATGATAGTAAACTACCATTTGTCTTACTACATTACATGTATGCATTTTGGGTGAGTTGTATTAATTACAATTTTAACTGATAATAAATAGTGTGACTTTCTATAAACTGTATATGATGCTATATATGCAAGTTTTTTTAAAAAAAATCGATGATGATCTTTTAACTATTAAATTGATATATTGATTCAAAAAAAATTAACGTTTGTGGTGAAAAATGAAAATATATAAAGACATTAAAAGGAGTGTCTAAGTTCACAAATAATTTAAAGATAACTTATTGCCTTTAATTATAAATGATTGGGAGCTCAAAGATAACATTGTGATTGTAATAAAATTATAAATTTCAAAGTGACAAGTAAGCAGTGCAATAACTAAAGACAAATTACAAGGATGATGACCTAAAAACATCATATGAAATGGTAGTCCTCCCCTTACAATTTTATTTTATTTTTTGTTTTTGTTTTTCATTAAGAAGAAGGGCTTAAGCCTGAATTACAGAATATTAAATAATTGGGAAATCAAATCTCAAACTTTCTTCAATTCACCAAGAGTCCAAGACGCTCAAGAAAGGAGGGGTCGTGTTATATGATGGTGCAACTTGTAAGCATTTCTTTGTAAGCTCATCAGCAACCTTGTTCTTTTCTCTTACATCTAATGGCAATGTAAGTTCCAATGAAATGTCAACATACTTCTAATTTGTTGTAGTACCATACTTTCTTGTTGGAATAATGCCTCTTCCTCATGTAGTTTGTTTATAATCAGTTTTGAATCTGATTCTAAATTCACATTCTTAAACCCTATACCCCACACAAATTGAAGCCCTTTCAAGACAGCCCATTCTTCTACCTCCTGGACACTACAAATTTCCAGTCTTTGCCAACAATCAGTAATCTAAGTGCCACAACTATCTTTGATAACATTACCACACCCTTCCTGAGAGGAAATGGAGGTGACAGCCTTATTTACATTCACTTTGACCCAAGGAGGGAGGAGACCATAAGAACTTAACTTCCTACAAAATCTTTGAACTGCAAAATATTCACCCTCTCATTATCATCCATAACCATGCAATAGTTGTGCAAAATATTCACAATAATATTAGTTGGGTTTAAAGGTTTTTGAAACCCTCGGGTTGAAGATAAATTCATTTCTCCAAAGCTATAATTTTCATATAGTGGTATGCCATAGCAGACTCTAATTCGAAGAAGAATGAGTAGCCAAATTAGCTTTCAAGTTCATAGTCACCTAATTAGAGAGAGATGCTGCAAAGAACTGATTATGAAATCTCCTATCCACTAGTTACAGCCACAAGTCTCTTGCATAGTCATGCTTCCTCAAGATGTGAAGGACATCCTTTGTACCATGTTGGCACCAGTTACACATAGGAGAACACAGAGCCCATTGGCTTCTCCACGCATGTGTTGGCAATTTTCCTTAAAATGCTAACCAAATATGAAACTTGAGTCTTTCCAAAGCTCACCACTTCCAGATTAACTTAAGTATACAATTATAAAATGCAAGATTGTTTTTTAAAATCATAAAGTAAGCACTCTTGATTGAGAACTCACTATTAGCATCACCAGCCTAAGACATTGTATCAAACCTTGTATTCATAAAATAAGGTAAGATAGCAACAAATCTTTAAAAAATCTTTTCCGGAAATAAGTTAGCCATTCTTGAAAAATCCCAAGTGCCATACAGTACCCAATATGCCACTGTACTCTCTTCCTCCTCTCTCGAAAGGGGTCCCAAATAAATCTCACTTAGTTTTCATCCAAGTAAAAGCTAGATGTCATTCAAAAATTGGACATGCAGTCCATTTCGAATATGCCATTTCATACCACAGTCCATGATCTCTTTTTGCTGACAAATGAATTCCCATAACAGAGAATCTCCCTACTTAGCAACTAGCAATCCTTCCTCCTTTTGAAGCATATATTTATTGACATCAACCAATAAACCATTATAGCCAACAAGCAACTTCCATGCTAATTTACTACTACATGCCTGATTGACAAAAGTTAACCATTTCAAACCTAGACCCCCATCAGACTTAGGCATTGTAATCCTTTCCTAGCATACCGGATGATAACTTCCTCCATTATTGCTTCTACCCCAAATGAAGTTTATTTGTAATCTTTCAATTTCATGATAGATGGTCTTTCATAACCTTGCAACCATTATCAAGTAAACTTAAACAGAGCTTAAAACAAATTTCGCTAAAGTGACACGCCCTGCATTGTTAAATAATTAGTCTTCCAGTTTGCAAGCTTAGAACTCACCTTATCAATTGCATGTTTGAAACGATCTATGGGTTTCTTTGTCCTTGCTAGAGGAAAACCAAAGCATGTACCTATCTCATCGAAAATATTCATATTCAATATAGCTCTAATTTTACCTCTTAAGCTGCCTAGGACATTTTTGGAAAAGAAGATAAAGGATTTGGCTTTGTTCACCTTAACACCCGAGGCCATGCAAAATCTATTTAAGCAATTCAGAATAACATATGCTTGAGACTCAGTGGCTTCACCAGAAAGTAACAAATCATTAGTAAACATGAGATGTGAGATGGCATGACCATTCTTTGAAGTGTAGATAGGTTTCCATTCAGTATTATCCACAACATTACAGATAATATGAGATAGTCTATCCATACAAAGAACAAACAAGTATAGAGAGATGGGGTCTCCTTGACGCAAACCTCTATGTGGTTGAAAAAAATCAATCTGATTCTCATTCCACGAGACATTATAAGAGACACTAGATATGAAATTCATAATAAGAGAGCTAAAGTTAGAGGGCATCCTTGCATCATGAAGCGCTTGTTGAAGAAAATCCCAATTGACTCAATCACAGGCCTTCTCCAAATCAATTTTTAATGCCATAAATCCTTTCTTCTGTCCAGCTTCATTCATAGTGTGTAACAACTCTTGCCCAATGATAATATTATCATGAATCTGTCTCCTGAGTATGAAATTGACTTGGAAAGGGGAAATAATCTCATCCATAAGACTCCTCAATCCTCAGAATGAGATTTTTGGTAATGCATTTGTAATAAACAGTACACAGGGCAATAAGTTTGAAGTGTGCAATAGATTCAAGTTTTTCTCTCTTAGGTATAAGTGATAAAAGTGTTTTATTAGAATCTGTTGAAGAAATATTACCTATAAAAACATCTCGAACAAAATTACACAGAGCTTGCTTCACAATATTCAAGTTTTTTTTATAAAATATCAGACAATAGGCATTAATTCTGGGGGCCTTATATGGACCATAGAAAAGATAGCCCTTCTTATCACTTCATCTGAAGGCAATTCAGCCATAAAATCCCTTCTCGCAGCATCAATATTAAAAAAAATTCTCAAAGTGTCCAAATTTGAATCCTCCATATTCTTAGCAGAATATAACTCTTCAAAATAATTAGTCACCAATGACTTCAATTCATTTTCTTCGTCAATCCACTCACCTTCAAAATTCTTTAAAGAGAAACTGCAATTTCTCCTACACCTTGTTGCTGTCTTTAGGTAGTAGTACCTTGTGTTTCTATCACCTTTTGCGATCCAATCAGTTCTAGATTCTTGAAACCATTTAATCTCTTCGAACTTGAGGACTTCGACGAGCTCCCTTTGAAGTCTAATCTCCAACCTTTCTAGGTATCGTGATCGTGGGTAGGATTGGGAACTTTGGATGCCATTCAATTGCACAAGCATACGCTTCTTCTTCAACTCTACTAATTCAAAGATATCCTTATTCCACTCTGAAACTTTCCCTTTAACCACGTTCAATTCTAGATCATCATTACCACTCCAAGTATGAGTCATAAAATTGCAACGCCCAATCAACGAGGGTTAAAACCATTTACGTTCGAAGCTATGTGGCTGCCCTTACAATTTTGAGCTGTGTATAAAAGATGATCAATCCCAGTCAGAATAAATCCTCGACTTTGCAATATTTGCATTTCACAAAGTAGGATCACCCATTGTCTTCTACTAGTGAATGTTCATACTTCGTTCAATAAAAGGAAAGGGATTAGCATGGGGAGTAGAGAATCAGAATACCTTCTTCAACATTAGATGATTTTTTTTTAATAAAAAACCTTTTTAACCTTTCATCCTTCACTGTACACTGTTACATATTATTTCTGTCTCTAAATAATTATCATTATTGAACATGTACATAAATCATTGTAGACCGTTGTGTTTGAATGCATGATGTTTGAATTTTAATTTAGACCAAATCTCTCATTAAGATATAAAAAAGTTTATAAATTTAAATTTGATCTAAATCTAAATTTATGTTCCTTTAAATTTTTTTTATAATTTCAAATTTTTTTATATCCTGGTTGTTTAAAATTCTGAATACCTCAAACATCTCTCTTTTTTTTTCACGTTTTAATTATTGGTGTTTTTATCAATCTCGCCTCTCTTCTCATCTTTCATTCTTATCTCTCATCGATTGATAAATAAAAATAAGTTTGTTATTTTCAATTTTTTATTTCTATTTCAAATTTTAACTCAGTTTTAAAATTTTTCAAACTATTTAAATAAAAAATTTTAAATACATTAATCTTAAACAATAGCTTTTAAATTTAAAATTCAAATTCAAATATGTCAATCCAAATGGCACTTAATACATTTGAATTGAAATACTCTTTATGTAATAAATATAGCATTACAGCTAACCCCTCCAGTCGTCACTTGACATCTTTCCAAGAGTATCGTGCATAAAAGTGGAGTGGATTAAAATCTGATTAATGCAATGTAATTTGTTGATATAGGCAATACCCCACCTTTTCTGACCCATTTAAAGATAGTCCAACAAGAAAAATGGTTAACGTTGTATTTTCTGCAGCATGTTGGAGTTAGCTTCATACCTTCCTCAGTAAACTCGATATTCAAGACGTGTTTTGAATATGTGATTCAACATGCATGACTTTATATGAACCCAGATGGAATCCAAACACAATCAAAGTTAGAATTAGCAAGAGATGTTGCACAGAATTTCAACTATCTTTCTTGAAGTTGGGTGGAAATAATTTTGCTTAGACAGCAAGAAATGCAAGAGGAATTCCTCAGCCAACTGAAGAATTTGCATCATGATTGGTGTAGAGGGCTAAAAGGCCTTCCTTTCTAATTTCTTAGGCACTATTAGTAAAAATCTTAGAGCCTCCTTCAATTTCTATTGACTTTGTGATCGTTTCCCTTCAGCCAAGCTTACACGCATTTCTCGTCCTTCCAGTTCCTGAAGCGCACAAGTCATAAGCAATCATCAATCAGTAAGCAAAATCACAATCACCAATTTACTCAATCCATAAGAGTTGAAGAATACCGTACCACTCCATTCAAGGATGTAAGGGCAGCTTCCATTTCTGATTTGGTTGAGTAGCAAACAAAGCCATAACCACGAGATCTTCCCGTTTCCCCATCATATAAGACCCTAGCTCCAACCACATTTCCATATTCTTGAAAAGCTTTTGTCAGACTCTCAGAAGTCACAGACCATGACAGGTTCCCAACAAAAAGCTTATGTTCAGTTTCAGGGTACAGGGGTTCTTTTGGTTTAGGTTTGTCGGAGAAGTTCACTCGCAGGGTTCGACCCAAGTATTCCTGAGGTGTTCGTTTACAGCATGTAGGAGGTGAAGAGTTAAGGACAACTAACTGAACATAGCATGAGCGGAAACATTGGACAGAAGAGGACTGTAGAGATAGAGTTTAGAGATACTCACAGTTCCATCAAGGTTTTCTATGACTGTATAACAATCTTCGACACTACTCATTGTGACAAACGCAAATCCTCTGCTTTTTCCAGTTTCCCTGTGGTAAAGAACCTACGTAATTTCCAAGTTGGATTAGAAAGACTTGCAAGTTTGAGAAATTAATGCTACTGATACAAAATTCTGGACCTCCATTTCAAAATTCCATCATGATAAAGCTGGTGCTCCCCTTGGTCCTTCTTATAAGAAACTTTCAATTGAATTACTCGGATTAAAGCATGTAGCTAAATTTAGTTAAAAGCTTTTACTTTGTCAAAAGTTATTGTAACATTTCAAAAATACCCCTAATAAAAATTAACCTCTATCCCCAATTTTCCCTTCAGAATATAATTAAAGAGGGAGATATAACTAAAACTATATAGCGATTTGTGTAAATCACACATTAGTGCTGCACTAATTTTGTAAATGTTTCTTATATTAAAGACTAAAGAAATCTTTTAGTAGGTCTCTTATAGAAAAGACCAGACAGAGTATAAACTGTCAAAGTGATAACTGATAATATAAAACCAGCAACGGTAGAAAGTTATCTCATTTGTGGTTTTCAGTTTTCAATGTTTATAGCAACTAATTTCCTAATTATGACCATCCGTTCTGATGGTCACTTTATTCTTTAGTTCTGCTAAAAGTTGAATTACTGAAAAGGCTTTACAAGTTAATTATCTGAGTTTCAGAAAAGATGCACTCCTATTTTCTCAAGAAAAATATCAAAGGAAGAATCAATTCAAGCTATTTCACTAAACCGGGATACATTGATACAATAGACACTATGAGCCTTCTCAATCAGGACACAAAGGTTATAGATTTACATTTTGCAGCCTTGAAGGCAATGATGTTAAGAGACAAATTTTTTAGATCAAGATCCATAGCAGACAAAAAGAAATTATTTTTTTATACAAAGACAAAAGGGAAATCTAAATTAAAGTTATAGCATTCGCCATAATCTGTAGTGACGTGATCATAAATGTGGACATGACCCAAACATAAGGTTCAAGCACAGGCTTAGAAAAATTAAACGCCCACTGAATCAAAGAAAAAAACTGCTAGCAAGATAACTCCTCCTATCAACTAAAAGTTTATGATCGCCCTATCAGAATATAACGGAATGGCAAATTGTACATTGTAATGAAATGAAATGGAGTGGAATGGTAAGTTAAATATGATCTCATTGTTTGGGAGATTAAGATGGGAAAACAGAGAGAAAGAATCATTAATGAAATGGAATGACTTATAATAAAGTTATTTTCTCAATATTATCCAACTGAAATACACCCACATACAATTGTATGCTAGCATGTAAATGTAAATTTGTTTTTTCAAGTGCAAGTCACTGATCTTTTTAATAACGACCTTTGCACACTCCATTCTGTTTCAGTCTGTGTCATCCATGATCCATCCAACCAATAACTACGTTCACCGTGGTAATACAGCATCATCAAATCAAATAAGTACTGACATCCATCAAAAGAAGTTCGCACTTGCTATAGCGATCTCTTGTTCGAGTAAATCATGATATATACCTCAATTAGTTCTGGGCTGCCATAATCCTGAATTATCGCTGCAAGTTGTGCGCTATCGACACTGTAAGGCAAGTTCCCAAAATAAAGCTTAGTGTTGACAGAGACTTCCGCCTCTCCTTCTTCTACCACTTCCTTTTCGCCCTCCTCATTCTCTTCAGCTAGACCAGCATCAATCTCATCGGCCACTACAAGCTCTTCCTGTGCAGATACCCTAGGCACCCACAATTTGTTGAAATTGCTATCAAAGGAAAGTGGTTCCACCAAGTGCGATTGTGACACAGACGCCAACACGCGGTTTGATGAAATTCTGAGAAGGGGTTCACAGGACAAGTTCTTGGATGAACGAAAGCACTTGAGAGTGTTGATGGAGGAAGAGAATGAGGAGCCTATAGCCGCAGCTGCAGAAGCTGCCATGGTATCGAAAGGGCAAAATTGACGGTGGTGGATGATGGTGCTGTTGTGGAAGATGGCAGCTTTTTCAGTTCCATGGGAAAGAGAGAAGTTGGATAGTGTAGGCTTCTCACGCTGATGTGGGCAGATTGTGTCCAATGAAATTGGAAGAAATATATGTCTGGATAAGATAGCTGTATTTTAATTTAAATGATGATCACAAGGGAAATTAAATATTGTTAAGTTTTTATTTTAACTGTAAGACGTTTTATTTATTCATTATACATAAATCCATGTTTCATTTTTTACACCTTACATACTTAATATAAATTTCTAAATTTTTTAAACAAACTTTTTTATTTGCATTTATGTTTATCTTAAAAATAAGATTACATTTGAGATAATCACATCTAACCCTCCTCAAGAAAATCAATCATAGATAAAGACCAATAATAAGTTTCATTTTAAAAAAAATAAGTCATGTTTTTATTTTAACAATAATCTGTTTTTCATTGATCTTTATTTGTTATTAATTTTTTTAAGGACTGCTAGATGTGATTCTTTCATTACATTTTTATGTTGTTTGAAAGATCAATTTCATACATTTATTAATTGAAAAAATAACTTTAATTGGTATCAAATCTGAAGTGAACATAATATGATATTGCAAAAAAAAAAAAACCTGATCAATATAATTAAGTATAATATAATTGAATAGCATAAGTGTTGTCCCATATTACACTATAATATATTTTTTTGGTACTGGAAGTCAAAATACTAATAAAATAAGTTAAAATACAATTTCTTGGGACAATAATCAAATGTAGGACAAAATGAAATATTATTATTAGATGCATATCAAGCAATAACACCATTTCTTCGGAATTTATGATCTGTGATGAGCTTCATAAATGATTTTTAATATACTATTGAGCTCTAGGGATGCTCAACAGATCATAGGCAAATGAAAGAAGAGTCACGCAAGATTAGTAGTTACAGGTATTGCTAATAGAATGGGATTGTATTATTTGATTGTTCATGTTCAATTATTTGAGTGATTAAACGGTTTGAATTTAAGTTTAAATTATTTAAAATCAAATGATATAACATTTCTTTATCTTCTTTATCTCAAATGTTGCTTCCTAGGCATCGCACAAGTGAAAACACTGCTAAGCCATCTTCGTCTGGAGAAGCGACAATTTATCACTTCAAGGCAAACCAACGTTGAAACCACATTTTTTAAACATGCTTTTAATTCGCTGTTACTTTTAGGCATTCCTGAGGAAATATACAACGACTACAACATCAATTAAGTTGAGCAGCATGCCTGAAATTTACTCTTGATCAAATTCAAGCACTTGTTTCATCTGTGTTTCATCTGTATACTGATGGTTAAACCGATGGCTAAATTATACACACATATTGGTCTTATGGTCTACCTTGCAAAACCTCCATTCCACCACAGAGCTGACACATATGTCAAGCATGTTCTCAACTATCACTAACCAACGCATTTGAAGGATTGTAATGGGCGAGTAAAACTTTCTATTGCATTATTTTGCATGGAGTCCAAGTCAGATTCTCCTGTTCATTTCAAAAATATTTCCCACGGCATAACTGGATTACGATTGTAATACATCTAGCACGCCAACAATCAGATAAACACAGGCATGCTCCTACAATCCACTGCAGCTAGAATTCCCACTTCTTCGGGTGAGTTTTCTGATTTGATGCTGACTTTGTTGGCCTTCTCTTTTGTGCAGAACTATAAATGTTACTTGATTTATCTGCATCTTCCTTGGGATTCTTCATGTTTGGTGAAGTTTCAGTAACGTTCCTTGATTTAACTTTACAGAGAGCATGTCTATTTTGTAGCACAGTATAGTTCTTTGAAGCTGGAAGTCTTTCACTGCCTTTAATTCGATTTTTGTTCCCAATCATAGTGTCATTATCTGATACAATATCCCAAGGACTTGAGTTAGTACTTAGCCAGTCAACATTGTCAGAGAAGAGACAATGCGATGTGAGTTTGCCTGCATGGTGTCCAAATACACAGATACTAGAATCCACAGCATAACTGATGGAGACATTCATGTCCCATATATTTCGACAAAGCACCTTATCAGATATCACTTCACTCAAAAGCTCAAAGCCACGTCCAATGAAATCCAAAGAGATCATGAAACTGAGAGAATAGATGCGAGATGAAATTGAATTGATTAAAAAAAAGGAAAGAATAGATTACCTGGACTAGATATAACAGCACGAGGAGGCGGAATTGAACTGGCTCTATATTTACCCTGTCCTCATCAATATGGTCATCCTTCTCAGGTCCTGGAAATCTCGAAGAATCTGATGTCAAATTGCAGGCTTCTAAATCTTCAGATAGAGGTACTCTTGGAATAGGTGCATGTGGAACATAACATTTAGGTACTTCGGCAGAAGATGGATGAGAGACACCTTTCTGGTTCCTCACTGCAAAATAAGAAAGTGGTGACTTCAATATTTCTGACGACCAATCAATATTTTAGTAACTATAATTAGAAGGATATCACTCCTTTTCGTCCCTTTCTAATATTAGGCCAACTAGATTGTGCTCAACCTAAAAAACAAGGTTAAGCGGCAAGGTTGTCAAGATTGCTTTCATGCAGATAAAAATACCATCCACCTTCATGTCTAGCGTGATTGCCAACCCATTATTGCTTCGAGTTTCTTTATCCTGATTTTAAAGCGAAAAGAACAAGAATAAATAAGAAAATAATTGCAGGTCTCTCAGTGCACATTCATTTGCTCAGTCAAGACACAGGAAGTCTTTTAATGAGGAAGCCTATGCATGTTATGGACTTCATTTTCAGAGCTCTGTATGACAAGAGAGGCCCAAGTAGTGCCTTTGCAGAAAGAATTCATTCATGTTTTAAAGTTAATTGCATGTGGGTTATGGGTACCACAGGGTTCCTCTTCTACGCATAAATAGCAGTGGCGAAAAATACTTGATCACTTGTAAAAGGAAGGAAAATTGGGGGATGCAAGATATTCAGATAAAAGGCTGTGACTTAAGAAGCAAGACTATATGATATAGTATGAAGTTATCCGTTCATGTTCATTCCCTGGTAAGTTCTTTTATATGCTAACTTGGGAAAAACAAAACAAGTAGAGAAACATGCTGGTACAATAACAGAGAACATAACTAGAAAACACGGATAAACGAGCAACAAGAAAATTATTTGACTGTCCTTTTATACCTAACAAACTCGACGGCGAAGCATGAAAGAACCAGGTAATTCAATATCAAGCTCACCCCTTTAGGCTTTACCTACATCTTTATCTACTCCCCCCCATCAATCATAACTCTCTTTGCTCAAGCAACCTATGCAGAGATTTGTGTATACACGCAAAGGTTTGGGGGAAAAGATCATCAAGCTACCGATGAACTCGATGAATATTTAACAAATAGTTGTTCCTTGACCTGGAAATTACCTGGAGGAGGAGAAACCCGCAACGACAGAGACAGCAAAGCTTTCAAATTATTGTCCTCTATAATCCGGTGATCCTCTTCGTGTTGTTCTTGTCTGACCTTCACCTTTGGATACACTGCAGATTCGAAAAAGAGAAGAAAAGAAAAAACACCACCCAATTCCCAGTCAGCTACTCGGCCAGATTAACAGTGTCAACAGACAATAAGGAAATGACATATAGCGTACAAAAGAAGAGCCAGTTCAAAACCCACTTGTTTTTGGACGAAATCGTGAAGAAAAACCGACGAAGAAGCAGGCGTTTTGGCTGCTGGTGGAAACTAATTGCCCTGGGTTTCGCTGATTAACAGGGACGATGAAACAGGAACAAGCAAGGAATCGTGTCGTGGGGCTCAGCGTTATGGTGGAATGAAGTTGATGAAATTTTGAATTAGTGTGAAAGGTGGTGGGCTCCAGTGAACATGCTTTTTGGCATCTGAAGATTTCCAACCGGATACGCCTCCGCAATTGAACAAGGTCAACGCCTCTTTCTCGTCTTCTTCCGTTTCGGTTTTTACTCTCTCTCTCTCTCTCTCTCTTAATCTGCGTTCATCGTCGTACAACATTTTTCGCAACGGCATCCAAGATTTCAATTTCAAAGCACAGGCCAAGCCATTTCAATTTCAAAATTTCAAAAACACCGGTCCAAAACTCAAGGGTCAAAGCTAAGCTCACAAGAGACGAGACTCGAGACAAGACATCGCCAAAATGGAACGGGAAGAACAGCCTTTCAGATTCACAGTATTTTACGGTTCGACTGCAAATGGAAAAGCCAGTAATATGTGTACTTTAAAATAAAAAGGGAAACACTTTAATAACGTTTGTTTAGCAAAATAAAATGAAAATGAATGAATTAAAAAAATTAAGAAAAAATAAAATAAACCATTCTTCTCTCATATTAAATATGATGAAATTTATTAATATATATTAAAAATATGATAATCATCACACCCTTCAAAAATTATATGAATTATAATTTTCAACCCATAAAATAAATTATTCTTCTCCCTTATGAATGTGTTTACATATTTTTTTGATCATTTATTTTTATCTTTATTTTTTCAATCCATTTTATTCTATTTTAGTAAGTAAACATGACCTAAGTGATATGGAATGATCACTAGGACATGTGTGTGTGTGCATGTATATATATATATATATATATATATGTGTGTGTGCGTCTTTTGTTTTTCGTTGTTTGTCAAATGTGGATTTAGTATCAGTTAGTTTCAATAAAAATTAGTTATTATAATTATATTGAGTGAAGGAGCAAATTTAGTCATCAATTATCTTTTAAGGATCACTGAATAATCTATACTATTAAATGATACAAACTAAATCACAAACTTACAAAATAGTAGCACCTAGCACCAATCGTTTATTTTGACCAAACAGACGCCTGTTGACCAATTATTTGCCCGAATGACAAGCCATCAGTTCTTCCCCTCTTTCTTCTGATCCCATTTCATTCAGGAATTTTGCTTCGAGCCTTACAACCTTTCTTCCCTCTCCGATCATTCTATCTTTGATTCATGGCAACCTATCGCTGATGCCCACCGAAAGACTATAGATGTTGATGTTCACGGCAAGGATGACGATGATTTTGAGTTCTGCTATGGATTCTCCCCTTGCTTTTATGCTTAACTTGCCACCGCTAGATCGTTCAACTCCTCATCCTTATCCTCAATCCCTTAAACCTCATGGAGCTTCTTCCTCGCTTGATCATGGAGTTTAGTGAGTTAGGAAGAAGGAGCTAGTTGATGATGATGATTAGAGCTAGCAACATCGTGTTGCCTAAGCTTAGTCGTCATCCCCAACCTCCTTTATTCTTTACTAAGAAGTAGTTCTGCATGTTTATTATTAGAATTCCAATAGTGATTAATGATTGAAAGCCAATGTTTAAAGCTCCTCTGTATTTGTATGGTGCCATCTCTCAGAGAAAGTGGCACAAGCTAAAAAAAAAGAAGATGCAAAAAAAAAAGAAGGAAATAATAAACAAATCATTGAATTCATACACATGGAAAAATTTGAAAGGAACAGAGGGTGCTATTGACTCAAAGCTATAGATGGGATTTATCCTGAGGCAAGCTTTGAAAATTAAACCTAAACAATTGGGGAGAGATAAGAAGGAAGACACTCATCTCATATTCATGCACATACTCTACTTTTCTTGTAGAAACTCCTATTTAATATGACTTTTCTTTCAATTCTTGAAGGAACACTCACTCTACAAGTTGTAACTTTAGAAATAGAGCCATTCAAAAGGAACGCTACAAGAAAAGAAAGAATAAACAAATGAACACCGAGAATTCAACAGTAAGGCAATCACCTTCTCTGGTAGACGATATCATGAAAAGACAGAGCCACAACATCTAGACCGATTGCAAATGAAAGAAGGGGGGAGATGAACGAAGGTGAAGAGGCTGATGTAATGACGGGCCCACCGTTAAAAATAAACAGAAATTGGTAAGAAATAGACGGTAAGCTGTGGATGCATACGTTATAGTTGATGATTTATTTTATCCCACTTAATAGTATAGGTTATTCAATGATCCTTAAAAAATAATTAATGGCTACATTTGCACTTTTATTTTAATTATATTTGTATTATGAAAGTCAATTTGTATTATAAAAATTGTTTGGATTAAGTATAATGAAAAGCATTTTAAATGTATAATTATCAAAAGGATATTGATTTTTATGATTTATAATTTCTATTATACCAATACTTTATATTAAAAATATTTGAAAAATATATACAATAAAAATTATAAATAACATAAAATTCAATATATTAAATAATAAGGATAAAAAATTACAAAAATTGATATATTTAACAAAAATTATATAAATAATCAATTACATTAATACTCATAATTAATTGAAAAAATTAGGGGTAGCATGATAATATAAAAAATATCTATATTTCTTAACTCTTTCATTGATACCCCAACATTCAAGTGCACATTTCTTTTTTAATTGGCCAACTAAAAATTCTTATTTCAAAAGCTCTCTCGAGTCATCTTGAGCAAATATATTTTAATCACTTTGTCAAAATATTTTTAAAATGTGATTTTATTAAAAAATTTGTCCAAAAAACTTTTAACTTTTAGAAAGTTGCAAAAATGCTTTCTAAAAATAAAAGAAAAATTAGTTACCCAAATACATCCATTATCCATGTGAACGGTTAGCAATATCAAAATTCAATTCATTGTTAATGTTTGTTTCATCCAGAAGTGAGAATAAATTAGGCCTTTAATAAAGACTTGCAGCTTAACATACCTTAGGCCTATCCTAACTTATTCGTTAAATAGATTCAAATCAGGTTCAAGCTTTTAATTAGGCTCATTTAATTAAATAGGTTAGACTTATTTTTTCAAAGCCTGGCTTATAAGCCTAACAGACTAGTATAATCTCACACGTGCATGTGCGTGCACATGTATATATTTAGTAATATATTTCACTAACACATCAATTTCATCATTTGATTTTTAATCAATATATTTTTTATCTCTAATCATATTTTCAATCATATTGAACTTATATAATAATTTTAATATCGTTACTTTCTTGATATAATGTGTTATAGTTAGAAAGTCATTTCAGTTATTATATATTATATATTATAATTGATAATATTATATATTATATATTATATATTATAATAGTATTAAAGTATATTTGAGAAGTTGAAGACTAAAATGCAAACGTATTTAAAATGTTTACTTTTAAACAAACTTTTAAATAAATTTTTAGGTTGGACCAAATTTTAGGTAGGCTTGAGCTCGAGTTATAAAAAAGTTTTATATAGGCAACTCGATCTAGTTTATTTTCACCCCAGTTTCATTCACTTGTTTATGAAAACATAATATAAACATGTTCATAAATTATGATTATGAATACTCCAATTTCAAGTTGTTATAGATTTCAATACACACACATTAAACATATTCATATTGTTTGATGTATTAATATATCTAGTAGCAAAGCCTAGACATGGAGTTAGGAGGTGCAAAATAATATAATTTTAAAATTAATAATTTTTTTAAAAAATAATAATCACACTAAGACTAAAATTGTAATAATATAGGTAAATGACTATCACTTTTTCTTAGAAAATTATATTGAATGTGTTAATATAGTCTCTTATGCAAATATATCTTCCTTATATTTTATTTTAATCATTAAAATATTAAGTATCTAATAAGCTTTTAAACATACATATTTTTTATTTAGCTTAAAAGGTGTAAAATATCAAGAATTTGGGGTGTAAAGTTGCAAAATTTACACACCCTACTTGTAATTTTTTTTTCAAAGTGAGGGGTGCATTTGCCCACCCCCATGATCAAGTGACTCCACCATTGAATATATTTGAATATATCAAAACTTTTTAATTAATAATATTTTTAAAAGTTTGATAAATTATAGAGTATAATAATATTATATAATTCATGTAACCGAACTTACATAATAAAATAATACTTGTTGTCGTTGTTATATTAATATATCAAGTATCTATTAGCAGACTTTAGTTGCTATAACTGAGATCACAGAACAAAAGAAGAAAAGGAACACAGAATTCTTTTCAAAATATATTTAAATAAATTTCCCTCCAACCATCAATCAATTTTCAATAAAAGTTTCAAAGTAAATCCCCAGAAAACTCATTTTTTGGCTGAATCAATTTTGCAAGAGTTTATCCAAATCCAAATTCTTAAACGAAGATGTAAAGCGGAGAGGGAGAAGTATTTCTAAAATGAAGTATACGAACGAGAAGTTAAAAAAAAAAAAAAACCTAAAAATGCGAAGGAAGGGTTTTAGATTTTTTTTTTTTTGGTTGGATCAGAGGATTTTATATTATTATTTTAAGGAAAACCAAAAACAAAAACAAAAACCCGGGAAGAAGGGGCTTTGCTTTAGCTTCACCTCGCATGAAAATTGAGTCAACATGTGGCGCTGCAAAACAACTTGGCTCCGTCGGTTTTCGACGGCTGTGCGGCGGCATGTGGAGGACGAAGGTGACTGGTCTTACTCATCCGAGTGGTGGGGCGAGGAATCCCGGGGTCAAACCATTCTTCGAGCAACTTCCGGCAAAGGAAACGGAGTCGTTTCGGTCCTTGCCTACCCCTCTTCCAGACCTGTGAGTGTCTCTCTTCCTCATTCACCCTCTATGTTATGTGTGTGCCTTACTGACCTTGAAATATATGCGTGTCTTTGAGTAATTGTTCTTTTGATGTAAGAAATTGGATTTTACTGGTATTTAATGTCGACGTCTATTTGGGTTCCCGTAGATAACACCCAACGAATCCACCCCATGCCTGCCCTTTCCTTGCGTCGATCCTGAATCCATGTCAAAGCCCTATTCATTTGATGTGATCCTGGAACTTTGAAGTTCATCATTCTCTGAAACTTGTGCGAAAAAGACTGTGGCATACATGAGATTCTATGTTTTACTTTACTGACTATATAGACTCTACAATTTTACTGTATTTTGATTTCTAATTATCTTTTGATGAGAATTTCGGGGGGAAATGCGAATTTAGCTGGAAGATTTGTCTTGCTGGTATCTAAGTTGTTGCCGCAACAATATTTTCAGATTTACTGTTTTGGTTGAATTTACTTGAAATTTTATTGTAATATGATTTGTAAAACATGTGAAATTCGATGATTTTGTTTTTCTTCATGCTAGATTGGGCGCGAAGAAAAATGTGTTGGTTAAAACTTCGAGTGACTGCTGCTTTGAT